TGTGAAAAGGAATGAGCCATCTACGTTAATCTGGGTTTAGGGGGTGGATGAGGGTGGAATTAGTCCAAGGCATGCTTTGAAAATGATGGGGCTGGTGCGTGGGCATGCAAGGATTGGTGAAATGTCAAGGAAGCGCGAGAGGAACGTCACCTATTAAAAAAATAAAAATTTAAAGTGATTTCAGCATAGTTCATGCTAAAGCGTAAATAACGGACGTAGCGCCTTGAGGGTCAAAAAGGCCAAGGCACCCCTTGAAATTTTGTAAGGGATTGAGGATGTTGGTCAGGAAGAGAGAGAAGGCAAAGATGGGAGAGTTGAAGGTCACTTAGAAATTAAATAGAAAATAAATATAAAATTTACTTACAAAAATATTAAGCCGGCTGCTTTACTCGATGTGCGTGGGTGGATTGAAAGTGAGGCACGCTTTGCAAATGATGTTGCTGCTCGGTGGGCTTGCATGGCTTGCTGAAAGACCAAAGAAGGGCCAGAGGAACGTCACCTATTAAAAAAATAAAAATTAAAAGTGATTTCAGCATAGTTCATGCTAAAGCGTAAATAAAGGACGTAGTGCCTTGAGTGTCAAAAAGGCCAAGGCACCCCTTGAACATTTGTAAGGGATTGAGGATGTTTGTCAGGAAGAGAGAGAAGGCAAAGATGGGAGAGTTGAAGGTCACTTAGAAATTAAATAGAAAATAAATATAAAATTTACTCACAAAAATAATAAGCCGGCTGCTTTACTCGATGTGCGTGGGTTGTTGAGGGTGGATTGAAAGTGAGGCACGCTTTGCAAATGATGTTGCTGCTCGGTGGGCTTGCATGGCTTGCTGAAAGACCAAAGAAGGGCCAGAGGAACGTCACCTATTAAAATAATAATAATTAAAAGCGATTCAAACAGGAGACGAGCGAAGGAGAAAAAGGTGGACGACGAGCCGAGTGGGACAAACAGGCCAAGGCACCCCTTGAAATTTTGTAAGGGATTGAGGATGTTGGTCAGGAAGAAAGAGAAGGCAAGGCAGGAAGATTTGAAGGTCACCAAGTAATTAAATCACAAATAAATCTAAAATTAATGTGAAAAGGAATGAGCCATCTACGTTAATCTGGGTTTAGGGGGTGGATGAGGGTGGAATTAGTGCAAGGCATGCTTTGAAAATGATGGGGCTGGTGCGTGGGCATGCAAGGATTGGTGAAATGTCAAGGATGCGCGAGAGGAACGTCACCTATTAAAAAAATAAAATTTTAAAGTGATATCAGCATAGTTCATGCTAAAGCGTAAATAACGGACGGAGCGCCCTGAGGGTCAAAAAAACCAAGGCACCCCTTGAAATTTTGTAAGGGATTGAGGATGTTGGTCAGGAAGAAAGAGAAGGCAAGGAAGGAAGATTAGAAGGTCACCCAGTAATTTAATCACAAATAAATCTAAAATTAATGTGAAAAGGAATGAGCAATCTACGTTAATCTGGGTTTAGGGGGTGGATGAGGGTGGAATTAGTGCAAGGCATGCTTTGAAAATGATGGGGCTGGTGCGTGGGCATGCAAGGATTGGTGAAATGTCAAGGAAGCGCGAGAGGAACGTCACCTATTAAAAAAATAAAAATTTAAAGTGATTTCAGCATAGTTCATGCTAAAGCGTAAATAACGGACGTAGCGCCTTGAGGGTCAAAAAGGCACCCCTTGAAATTTTGTAAGGGATTGAGGATGTTGGTCAGGAAGAGAGAGAAGGCAAAGATGGGAGAGTTGAAGGTCACTTAGAAATTAAATAGAAAATAAATATAAAATTTACTTACAAAAATATTAAGCCGGCTGCTTTACTCGATGTGCGTGGGTTGTTGAGGGTGGATTGAAAGTGAGGCACGCTTTGCAAATGATGTTGCTGCTCGGTGGGCTTGCATGGCTTGCTGAAAGACCAAAGAAGGGCCAGAGGAACGTCACCTATTAAAAAAATAAAAATTAAAAGTGATTTCAGCATAGTTCATGCTAAAGCGTAAATATAGGACGTAGCGCCTTGAGTGTCAAAAAGGCCAAGGCACCCCTTGAACATTTGTAAGGGATTGAGGATGTTTGTCAGGAAGAGAGAGAAGGCAAAGATGGGAGAGTTGAAGGTCACTTAGAAATTAAATAGAAAATAAATATAAAATTTACTCACAAAAATAATAAGCCGGCTGCTTTACTCGATGTGCGTGGGTTGTTGAGGGTGGATTGAAAGTGAGGCACGCTTTGCAAATGATGTTGCTGCTCGGTGGGCTTGCATGGCTTGCTGAAAGACCAAAGAAGGGCCAGAGGAATGTCACCTATTAAAATAATAATAATTAAAAGCGATTCAAACAGGAGACGAGCGAAGGAGAAAAAGGTGGACGACGAGCTGAGTGGGACAAACAGGCCAAGGCACCCCTTGAAATTTTGTAAGGGATTGAGGATGTTGGTCAGGAAGAGAGAGAAGGCAAGGAAGGAAGATTTGAAGGTCACCCAGTAATTTAATCACAAATAAATCTAAAATTAATGTGAAAAGGAATGAGCCATCTACGTTAATCTGGGTTTAGGGGGTGGATGAGGGTGGAATTAGTGCAAGGCATGCTTTGAAAATGATGGGGCTGGTGCGTGGGCATGCAAGGATTGGTGAAATGTCAAGGATGAGCGAGAGGAACGTCACCTATTAAAAAAATAAAATTTTAAAGTGATATCAGCATAGTTCATGCTAAAGCGTAAATAACGGACGGAGCGCCTTGAGGGTCAAAAAAACCAAGGCACCCCTTGAAATTTTGTAAGGGATTGAGGATGTTGGTCAGGAAGAAAGAGAAGGCAAGGAAGGAAGATTAGAAGGTCACCCAGTAATTTAATCACAAATAAATCTAAAATTAATGTGAAAAGGAATGAGCCATCTACGTTAATCTGGGTTTAGGGGGTGGATGAGGGTGGAATTAGTGCAAGGCATGCTTTGAAAATGATGGGGCTGGTGCGTGGGCATGCAAGGATTGGTGAAATGTCAAGGAAGCGCGAGAGGAACGTCACCTATTAAAAAAATAAAATTTTAAAGTGATATCAGCATAGTTCATGCTAAAGCGTAAATAACGGACGTAGCGCCTTGAGGGTCAAAAAGGCCAAGGCACCCCTTGAAATTTTGTAAGGGATTGAGGATGTTGGTCAGGAAGAGAGAGAAGGCAAAGATGGGAGAGTTGAAGGTCACTTAGAAATTAAATAGAAAATAAATATAAAATTTACTTACAAAAATATTAAGCCGGCTGCTTTACTCGATGTGCGTGGGTTGTTGAGGGTGGATTGAAAGTGAGGCAAGCTTTGCGCATGATGTTGCTGCTCGGTGGGCTTGCATGGCTTGCTGAAAGACCAAAGAAGGGCCAGAGGAACGTCACCTATTAAAAAAATAAAAATTAAAAGCGATTCAAACAGGAGACGAGCGAAGGAGAAAAAGGTGGACGACGAGCCGAGTGGGACAAACAGGCCAAGGCACCCCTTGAAATTTTGTAAGGGATTGAGGATGTTGGTCAGGAAGAAAGAGAAGGCAGGAAGGAAGATTTGAAGGTCACCCAGTAATTTAATCACAAATAAATCTAAAATTAATGTGAAAAGGAATGAGCCATCTAATCTGGGTTTAGGGGGTGGATGAGGGTGGAATTAGTGCAAGGCATGCTTTGAAAATGATGGGGCTGGTGCGTGGGCATGCAAGGATTGGTGAAATGTCAAGGAAGCGCGAGAGGAACGTCACCTATTAAAAAAATAAAAATTTAAAGTGATTTCAGCATAGTTCATGCTAAAGCGTAAATAACGGACGTAGCGCCTTGAGGGTCAAAAAGGCCAAGGCACCCCTTGAAATTTTGTAAGGGATTGAGGATGTTGGTCAGGAAGAAAGAGAAGGCAAGGAAGGAAGATTTGAAGGTCACCCAGTAATTTAATCACAAATAAATCTAAAATTAATGTGAAAAGGAATGAGCCGTCTACGTTAATCTGGGTTTAGGGGGTGGATGAGGGTGGAATTAGTGCAAGGCATGCTTTGAAAATGATGGGGCTGGTGCGTGGGCATGCAAGGATTGGTGAAATGTCAAGGAAGCGCGAGAGGAACGTCACCTATTAAAAAAATAAAATTTTAATGTGATTTCAGCATAGTTCATGCTAAAGCGTAAATAACGGACGTAGCGCCTTGAGGGTCAAAAAGGCCAAGGCACCCCTTGAAATTTTGTAAGGGATTGAGGATGTTGGTCAGGAAGAGAGAGAAGGCAAAGGATGGGAGAGTTGAAGGTCACTTAGAAATTAAATAGAAAATAAATATAAAATTTACTTACAAAAATATTAAGCCGGCTGCTTTACTCGATGTGCGTGGGTGGATTGAAAGTGAGGCACGCTTTGCAAATGTTGTTGCTGCTCGGTGGGCTTGCATGGCTTGCTGAAAGACCAAAGAAGGGCCAGAGGAACGTCACCTATTAAAAAAATAAAAATTAAAAGCGATTCAAACAGGAGACGAGCGAAGGAGAAAAAGGTGGACGACGAGCCGAGTGGGACAAACAGGCCAAGGCACCCCTTGAAATTTTGTAAGGGATTGAGGATGTTGGTCAGGAAGAAAGAGAAGGCAAGGAAGGAAGATTAGAAGGTCACCCAGTAATCTAATCACAAATAAATCTAAAATTAATGTGAAAAGGAATGAGCCATCTACGTTAATCTGGGTTTAGGGGGTGGATGAGGGTGGAATTAGTGCAAGGCATGCTTTGAAAATGATGGGGCTGGTGCGTGGGCATGCAAGGATTAGTGAAATGTCAAGGAAGCGCAAGAGGAATGTCACCTTTTAAAAAAATAAAAATTAAAAGTGATTTCAGCATAGTTCATGCTAAAGCGTAATAAACGGACGTAGCGCCTTGAGGGTCAAAAAGGCTAAGGCACTCCTTGAAATTTTATAAGGGATTGAGGATGTTGGTCAGGAAGAGAGAGAAGGCAAAGATGGGAGAGTTGAAGGTCACTTAGAAATTAAATAGAAAATAAATATAAAATTTACTTACAAAAATATTAAGCAGGCTGCTTTACTCGATGTGAGTGGGTTGTTGAGGGTGGATTGAAAGTGAGGCACGCTTTGCGCATGATGTTGCTGCTCGGTGGGCTTGCATGGCTTGCTGAAAGACCAAAGAAGGGCCAGAGGAACGTCACCTATTAAAAAAATAAAAATTAAAAGTGATTTCAGCATAGTTCATGCTAAAGCGTAAATAACGGACGTATCGCCTTGAGTGTCAAAAAGGCCAAGGCACCCCTTGAAATTTTGTAAGGGATTGAGGATGTTTGTCAGGAAGAGAGAGAAGGCAAAGGGGAGAGTTGAAGGTCACTTAGAAATTAAATAGAAAATAAATATAAAATTTACTTACAAAAATATTAAGCCGGCTGCTTTACTCGATGTGCGTGGGTTGTTGAGGGTGGATTGAAAGTTAGGCACGCTTTGAAAATGATGTTGCTGCTCGGTGGGCTTGCATGGCTTGCTGAAAGACCAAAGAAGGGCCAGAGGAACGTCACCTATTAAAATAATAATAATTAAAAGCGATTCAAACAGGAGACGAGCGAAGGAGAAAAAGGTGGACGACGAGACGAGTGGGACAAACAGGCCAAGGCACCCCTTGAAATTTTGTAAGGGATTGAGGATGTTGGTCAGGAAGAGAGAGAAGGCAAGGAAGGAAGATTTGAAGGTCACCCAGTAATTTAATCACAAATAAATCTAAAATTAATGTGAAAAGGAATGAGCCATCTACGTTAATCTGGGTTTAGGGGGTGGATGAGGGTGGAATTAGTGCAAGGCATGCTTTGAAAATGATGGGGCTGGTGCGTGGGCATGCAAGGATTGGTGAAATGTCAAGGAAGCGCGAGAGGAACGTCACGTATTGAAAAAAAAATTAAAAGTGATTTCAGCATAGTTCATGCTAAAGCGTAAATAACGGACGTAGCGCCTTGAGGGTCAAAAAGGCCAAGGCACCCCTTGAAATTTTGTAAGGGATATAGGATGTTGGTCAGGAAGAGAGAGAAGGCAAAGATGGGAGAGTTGAAGGTTAATCAGTAATTTAATCACAAATAAATCTAAAATTAATGTGAAAAGGAATGAGCCATCTACGTTAATCTGGGTTTAGGGGGTGGATGAGGGTGGAATTAGTTCAAGGCATGCTTTGAAAATGATGGGGCTGGTGCGTGGGCATGCAAGGATTGGTGATATGTCAAGGACGCGCGAGAGGAACGTCACCTATTAAAAAAATAAAAATTAAAAGTGATTTCAGCATAGTTCATGCTAAAGCGTAAATAACGGACGTAGCGCCTTGAGGGTCAAAAAGGCAAAGGCACCCCTTGAAATTTTGTAAGGGATTGAGGATGTTGGTCAGGAAAAGAGAGAAGGCAAAGATGGGAGAGTTGAAGGTCACTTAGAAATTAAATAGAAAATAAATATAAAATTTACTTACAAAAATATTAAGCCGGCTGCTTTACTCGATGTGCGTGGGTTGTTGAGGGTGGATTGAAAGTGAGGCAAGCTTTGCGCATGATGTTGCTGCTCGGTGGGCTTGCATGGCTTGCTGAAAGACCAAAGAAGGGCCAGAGGAACGTCACCTATTAAAAAAATAAAAATTAAAAGCTATTCAAACAGGAGACGAGCGAAGGAGAAAAAGGTGGACGACGAGCCGAGTGGGACAAACAGGCCAAGGCACCCCTTGAAATTTTGTAAGGGATTGAGGATGTTGGTCAGGAAGAAAGAGAAGGCAGGAAGGAAGATTTGAAGGTCACCCAGTAATTTAATCACAAATAAATCTAAAATTAATGTGAAAAGGAATGAGCCATCTACGTTAATCTGGGTTTAGGGGGTGGATGAGGGTGGAATTAGTGCAAGGCATGCTTTGAAAATGATGGGGCTGGTGCGTGGGCATGCAAGGATTGGTGAAATGTCAAGGAAGCGCGAGAGGAACGTCACCTATTAAAAAAATAAAAATTTAAAGTGATTTCAGCATAGTTCATGCTAAAGCGTAAATAACGGACGTAGCGCCTTGAGGGTCAAAAAGGCCAAGGCACCCCTTGAAATTTTGTAAGGGATTGAGGATGTTGGTCAGGAAGAAAGAGAAGGCAAGGAAGGAAGATTTGAAGGTCACCCAGTAATTTAATCACAAATAAATCTAAAATTAATGTGAAAAGGAATGAGCCGTCTACGTTAATCTGGGTTTAGGGGGTGGATGAGGGTGGAATTAGTTCAAGGCATGCTTTGAAAATGATGGGGCTGGTGCGTGGGCATGCAAGGATTGGTGAAATGTCAAGGACGCGCGAGAGGAACGTCACCTATTAAAAAAATAAAAATTAAAAGTGATTTCAGCATAGTTCATGCTAAAGCGTAAATAACGGACGTAGCGCCTTGAGGGTCAAAAAGGCCAAGGCACCCCTTGAAATTTTGTAAGGGATTGAGGATGTTGGTCAGGAAGAGAGAGAAGGCTAAGATGGGAGAGTTGAAGGTCAATCAGTAATTTAATCACAAATAAATCTAAAATTAATGTGAAAAGGAATGAGCCATCTACGTTAATCTGGGTTTAGGGGGTGGATGAGGGTGGAATTAGTGCAAGGCATGCTTTGAAAATGATGGGGCTGGTGTGTGGGCATGCAAGGATTGGTGAAATGTCAAGGAAGCGCGAGAGGAACGTCACCTATTAAAAAAATAAAAATTAAAAGTGATTTCAGCATAGTTCATGCTAAAGCGTAAATAACGGACGTAGCGCCTTGAGGGTCAAAAAGGCCAAGGCACCCCTTGAAATTTTGTAAGGGATTGAGGATGTTGGTCAGGAAGAGAGAGAAGGCAAAGATGGGAGAGTTGAAGGTCACTTAGAAATTAAATAGAAAATAAATATAAAATTTACTTACAAAAATATTAAGCCGGCTGCTTTACTCGATGTGCGTTGGTTGTTGAGGGTGGATTGAAAGTGAGGCACGCTTTGCAAATGATGTTGCTGCTCGGTGGGCTTGCATGGCTTGCTGAAAGACCAAAGAAGGGCCAGAGGAACGTCACCTATTAAAAAAATAATAATTAAAAGTGATTCAAACAGGAGACGAGCGAAGGAGAAAAAGGTGGACGACGAGCCGAGTGGGACAAACAGGCCAAGGCACCCCTTGAAATTTTGTAAGGGATTGAGGATGTTGGTCAGGAAGAGAGAGAAGGCAAGGAAGGAAGATTTGATGGTCACCCAGTAATTTAATCACAAATAAATCTAAAATTTATGTGAAAAGGAATGAGCCATCTACGTTAATCTGGGTTTAGGGGGTGGATGAGGGTGGAATTAGTGCAAGGCATGCTTTGAAAATGATGGGGCTGGTGCGTGGGCATGCAAGGATTAGTGAAATGTCAAGGACGCGCGAGAGGAACGTCACCTATTAAAAAAATAAAAATTAAAAGTGATTTCAGCATAGTTCATGCTAAAGCGTAAATAACGCGTAGCGCCTTTAGGGGCAAAAAGGCCAAGGCACCCCTTGAAATTTTGTAAGGGATTGAGGATGTTGGTCAGGAAGAGAGAGAAGGCAAAGATGGGAGAGTTGAAGGTTAATCAGTAATTTAATCACAAATAAATCTAAAATTAATGTGAAAAGGAATGAGCCATCTACGTTAATCTGGGTTTAGGGGGTGGATGAGGGTGGAATTAGTGCAAGGCATGCTTTGAAAATGATGGGGCTGGTGCGTGGGCATGCAAGGATTGGTGAAATGTCAAGGACGCGCGAGAGGAACGTCACCTATTAAAAAAATAAAAATTAAAAGTGATTTCAGCATAGTTCATGCTAAAGCGTAAATAACGGACGTAGCGCCTTGAGGGTCAAAAAGGCCAAGGCACCCCTTGAAATTTTGTAAGGGATTGAGGATGTTGGTCAGGAAGAGAGAGAAGGCTAAGATGGGAGAGTTGAAGGTAAATCAGTAATTTAATCACAAATAAATCTAAAATTAATGTGAAAAGGAATGAGCCATCTACGTTAATCTGGGTTAAGGGGGTGGATGAGGGTGGAATTAGTGCAAGGCATGCTTTGAAAATGATGGGGCTGGTGTGTGGGCATGCAAGGATTGGTGAAATGTCAAGGAAGCGCGAGAGGAACGTCACCTATAAAAAAAATAAAAATTAAAAGTGATTTCAGCATAGTTCATGCTAAAGTGTAAATAACGGACGTAGCGCCTTGAGGGTCAAAAAGGCCAAGGCACCCCTTGAAATTTTGTAAGGGATTGAGGATGTTGGTCAGGAAGAGAGAGAAGGCAAAGATGGGAGAGTTGAAGGTCACTTAGAAATTAAATAGAAAATAAATATAAAATTTACTTACAAAAATATTAAGCCGGCTGCTTTACTCGATGTGCGTGGGTTGTTGAGGGTGGATTGAAAGTGAGGCACGCTTTGCAAATGATGTTGCTGCTCGGTGGGCTTGCATGGCTTGCTGAAAGACCAAAGAAGGGCCAGAGGAACGTCACCTATTAAAAAAATAATAATTAAAAGTGATTCAAATAGGAGACGAGCGAAGGAGAAAAAGGTGGACGACGAGCCGAGTGGGACAAACAGGCCAAGGCACGCCTTGAAATTTTGTAAGGGATTGAGGATGTTGGTCAGGAAGAGAGAGAAGGCAAGGAAGGAAGATTTGATGGTCACCCAGTAATTTAATCACAAATAAATCTAAAATTTATGTGAAAAGGAATGAGCCATCTACGTTAATCTGGGTTTAGGGGGTGGATGAGGGTGGAATTAGTGCAAGGCATGCTTTGAAAATGATGGGGCTGGTGCGTGGGCATGCAAGGATTAGTGAAATGTCAAGGACGCGCGAGAGGAACGTCACCTATTAAAAAAATAAAAATTAAAAGTGATTTCAGCATAGTTCATGCTAAAGCGTAAATAACGCGTAGCGCCTTTAGGGGCAAAAAGGCCAAGGCACCCCTTGAAATTTTGTAAGGGATTGAGGATGTTGGTCAGGAAGAGAGAGAAGGCAAAGATGGGAGAGTTGAAGGTTAATCAGTAATTTAATCACAAATAAATCTAAAATTAATGTGAAAAGGAATGAGCCATCTACGTTAATCTGGGTTTAGGGGGTGGATGAGGGTGGAATTAGTGCAAGGCATGCTTTGAAAATGATGGGGCTGGTGCGTGGGCATGCAAGGATTGGTGAAATGTCAAGGACGCGCGAGAGGAACGTCACCTATTAAAAAAATAAAAATTAAAAGTGATTTCAGCATAGTTCATGCTAAAGCGTAAATAACGCGTAGCGCCTTTAGGGGCAAAAAGGCCAAGGCACCCCTTGAAATTTTGTAAGGGATTGAGGATGTTGGTCAGGAAGAGAGAGAAGGCAAAGATGGGAGAGTTGAAGGTTAATCAGTAATTTAATCACACATAAATCTTAAATTAATGTGAAAAGGAATGAGCCATCTACGTTAATCTGGGTTTAGGGGGTGGATGAGGGTGGAATTAGTGCAAGGCATGCTTTGAAAATGATGGGGCTGGTGCGTGGGCATGCAAGGATTGGTGAAATGTCAAGGACGCGCGAGAGGAACGTCACCTATTAAAAAAATAAAAATTAAAAGTGATTTCAGCATAGTTCATGCTAAAGCGTAAATAACGGACGTAGCGCCTTGAGGGTCAAAAAGGCCAAGGCACCCCTTGAAATTTTGTAAGGGATTGAGGATGTTGGTCAGGAAGAGAGAGAAGGCTAAGATGGGAGAGTTGAAGGTAAATCAGTAATTTAATCACAAATAAATCTAAAATTAATGTGAAAAGGAATGAGCCATCTACGTTAATCTGGGTTAAGGGGGTGGATGAGGGTGGAATTAGTGCAAGGCATGCTTTGAAAATGTCATTTTCAAAATGATGGGGCTGGTGTGTGGGCATGCAAGGATTGGTGAAATGTCAAGGAAGCGCGAGAGGAACGTCACCTATTAAAAAAATAAAAATTAAAAGTGATTTCAGCATAGTTCATGCTAAAGTGTAAATAACGGACGTAGCGCCTTGAGGGTCAAAAAGGCCAAGGCACCCCTTGAAATTTTGTAAGGGATTGAGGATGTTGGTCAGGAAGAGAGAGAAGGCAAAGATGGGAGAGTTGAAGGTCACTTAGAAATTAAATAGAAAATAAATACAAAATTTACTTACAAAAATATTAAGCCGGCTGCTTTACTCGATGTGCGTGGGTTGTTGAGGGTGGATTGAAAGTGAGGCACGCTTTGCAAATGATGTTGCTGCTCGGTGGGCTTGCATGGCTTGCTGAAAGACCAAAGAAGGGCCAGAGGGACGTCACCTATTAAAAAAATAATAATTAAAAGTGATTCAAACAGGAGACGAGCGAAGGAGAAAAAGGTGGACGACGAGCCGAGTGGGACAAACAAGCCAAGGCACCCCTTGAAATTTTGTAAGGGATTGAGGATGTTGGTCAGGAAGAGAGAGAAGGCAAGGAAGGAAGATTTGAAGGTCACCCAGTAATTTAATCACAAATAAATCTAAAATTAAAGTGAAAAGGAATGAGCCATCTACGTTAATCTGGGTTTAGGGGGTGGATGAGGGTGGAATTAGTGCAAGGTATGCTTTGAAAATGATGGGGCTGGTGCGTGGGCATGCAAGGATTAGTGAAATGTCAAGGACGCGCGAGAGGAACGTCACCTATTAAAAAAATAAAAATTAAAAGTGATTTCAGCATAGTTCATGCTAAAGCGTAAATAACGGACGTAGCGCCTTGAGGGTCAAAAAGGCCAAGGCACCCCTTGAAATTTTGTAAGGGATTGAGGATGTTGGTCAGGAAGAGAGAGAAGGCAAAGATGGGAGAGTTGAAGGTCACTTAGAAATTAAATAGAAAATAAATATAAAATTTACTTACAAAAATATTAAGCCGGCTGCTTTACTCGATGTGCGTGGGTTGTTGAGGGTGGATTGAAAGTGAGGCACGCTTTGCAAATGATGTTGCTGCTCGGTGGGCTTGCATGGCTTGCTGAAAGACCAAAGAAGGGCCAGAGGAACGTCACCTATTAAAAAAATAATAATTAAAAGTGATTCAAATAGGAGACGAGCGAAGGAGAAAAAGGTGGACGACGAGCCGAGTGGGACAAACAGGCCAAGGCACCCCTTGAAATTTTGTAAGGGATTGAGGATGTTGGTCAGGAAGAGAGAGAAGGCAAGGAAGGAAGATTTGATGGTCACCCAGTAATTTAATCACAAATAAATCTAAAATTTATGTGAAAAGGAATGAGCCATCTACGTTAATCTGGGTTTAGGGGGTGGATGAGGGTGGAATTAGTGCAAGGCATGCTTTGAAAATGATGGGGCTGGTGCGTGGGCATGCAAGGATTAGTGAAATGTCAAGGACGCGCGAGAGGAACGTCACCTATTAAAAAAATAAAAATTAAAAGTGATTTCAGCATAGTTCATGCTAAAGCGTAAATAACGCGTAGCGCCTTTAGGGGCAAAAAGGCCAAGGCACCCCTTGAAATTTTGTAAGGGATTGAGGATGTTGGTCAGGAAGAGAGAGAAGGCAAAGATGGGAGAGTTGAAGGTTAATCAGTAATTTAATCACAAATAAATCTAAAATTAATGTGAAAAGGAATGAGCCATCTACGTTAATCTGGGTTTAGGGGGTGGATGAGGGTGGAATTAGTGCAAGGCATGCTTTGAAAATGATGGGGCTGGTGCGTGGGCATGCAAGGATTGGTGAAATGTCAAGGACGCGCGAGAGGAACGTCACCTATTAAAAAAATAAAAATTAAAAGTGATTTCAGCATAGTTCATGCTAAAGCGTAAATAACGCGTAGCGCCTTTAGGGGCAAAAAGGCCAAGGCACCCCTTGAAATTTTGTAAGGGATTGAGGATGTTGGTCAGGAAGAGAGAGAAGGCAAAGATGGGAGAGTTGAAGGTTAATCAGTAATTTAATCACAAATAAATCTTAAATTAATGTGAAAAGGAATGAGCCATCTACGTTAATCTGGGTTTAGGGGGTGGATGAGGGTGGAATTAGTGCAAGGCATGCTTTGAAAATGATGGGGCTGGTGCGTGGGCATGCAAGGATTGGTGAAATGTCAAGGACGCGCGAGAGGAACGTCACCTATTAAAAAAATAAAAATTAAAAGTGATTTCAGCATAGTTCATGCTAAAGCGTAAATAACGGACGTAGCGCCTTGAGGGTCAAAAAGGCCAAGGCACCCCTTGAAATTTTGTAAGGGATTGAGGATGTTGGTCAGGAAGAGAGAGAAGGCTAAGATGGGAGAGTTGAAGGTAAATCAGTAATTTAATCACAAATAAATCTAAAATTAATGTGAAAAGGAATGAGCCATCTACGTTAATCTGGGTTAAGGGGGTGGATGAGGGTGGAATTAGTGCAAGGCATGCTTTGAAAATGATGGGGCTGGTGTGTGGGCATGCAAGGATTGGTGAAATGTCAAGGAAGCGCGAGAGGAACGTCACCTATTAAAAAAATAAAAATTAAAAGTGATTTCAGCATAGTTCATGCTAAAGTGTAAATAACGGACGTAGCGCCTTGAGGGTCAAAAAGGCCAAGGCACCCCTTGAAATTTTGTAAGGGATTGAGGATGTTGGTCAGGAAGAGAGAGAAGGCAAAGATGGGAGAGTTGAAGGTCACTTAGAAATTAAATAGAAAATAAATACAAAATTTACTTACAAAAATATTAAGCCGGCTGCTTTACTCGATGTGCGTGGGTTGTTGAGGGTGGATTGAAAGTGAGGCACGCTTTGCAAATGATGTTGCTGCTCGGTGGGCTTGCATGGCTTGCTGAAAGACCAAAGAAGGGCCAGAGGGACGTCACCTATTAAAAAAATAATAATTAAAAGTGATTCAAACAGGAGACGAGCGAAGGAGAAAAAGGTGGACGACGAGCCGAGTGGGACAAACAAGCCAAGGCACCCCTTGAAATTTTGTAAGGGATTGAGGATGTTGGTCAGGAAGAGAGAGAAGGCAAGGAAGGAAGATTTGAAGGTCACCCAGTAATTTAATCACAAATAAATCTAAAATTAAAGTGAAAAGGAATGAGCCATCTACGTTAATCTGGGTTTAGGGGGTGGATGAGGGTGGAATTAGTGCAAGGTATGCTTTGAAAATGATGGGGCTGGTGCGTGGGCATGCAAGGATTAGTGAAATGTCAAGGACGCGCGAGAGGAACGTCACCTATTAAAAAAATAAAAATTAAAAGTGATTTCAGCATAGTTCATGCTAAAGCGTAAATAACGGACGTAGCGCCTTGAGGGTCAAAAAGGCCAAGGCACTCCTTGAAATTTTGTAAGGGATTGAGGATGTTGGTCAGGAAGAGAGAGAAGGCAAAGATGGGAGAGTTGAAGGTCACTTAGAAATTAAATAGAAAATAAATATAAAATTTACTTACAAAAATATTAAGCCAGCTGCTTTACTCGATGTGCGTGGGTTGTTGAGGGTGGATTGAAAGTGAGGCACGCTTTGCAAATGATGTTGCTGCTCGGTGGGCTTGCATGGCTTGCTGAAAGACCAAAGAAGGGCCAGAGGAACGTCACCTATTAAAAAAATAATAATTAAAAGTGATTCAAACAGGAGACGAGCGAAGGAGAAAAAGGTGGACGACGAGCCGAGTGGGACAAACAGGCCAAGGCACCCCTTGAAATTTTGTAAGGGATTGAGGATGTTGGTCAGGAAGAGAGAGAAGGCAAGGAAGGAAGATTTGATGGTCACCCAGTAATTTAATCACAAATAAATCTAAAATTAATGTGAAAAGGAATGAGCCATCTACGTTAATCTGGGTTAAGGGGGTGGATGAGGGTGGAATTAGTGCAAGGCATGCTTTGAAAATGATGGGGCTGGTGTGTGGGCATGAGAGGATTGGTGAAATTTCAAGGAAGCGCGAGAGGAACGTCACCTATTAAAAAAATAAAAATTAAAAGTGATTTCAGCATAGTTCATGCTAAAGCGTAAATAACGGACGTAGCGCCTTGAGGGTCAAAAAGGCCAAGGCACCCCTTGAAATTTTGTAAGGGATTGAGGATGTTTGTCAGGAAGAGAGAGAAGGCAAAGATGGGAGAGTTGAAGGTCACTTAGAAATTAAATAGAAAATAAATATAAAATTTACTTACAAAAATATTAAGCCGGCTGCTTTACTCGATGTGCGTGGGTTGTTGAGGGTGGATTGAAAGTGAGGCACGCTTTGCAAATGATGTTGCTGCTCGGTGGGCTTGCATGGCTTGCTGAAAGACCAAAGAAGGGCCAGAGGAACGTCACCTATTAAAAAAAAAATAATTAAAAGTGATTCAAACAGGAGACGAGCGAAGGAGAAAAAGGTGGACGACGAGCCGAGTGGGACAAACAGGCCAAGGCACCCCTTGAAATTTTGTAAGGGATTGAGGATGTTGGTCAGGAAGAGAGAGAAGGCAAGGAAGGAAGATTTGATGGTCACCCAGTAATTTAATCACAAATAAATCTAAAATTTATGTGAAAAGGAATGAGCCATCTACGTTAATCTGGGTTTAGGGGGTGGATGAGGGTGGAATTAGTGCAAGGCATGCTTTGAAAATGATGGGGCTGGTGCGTGGGCATGCAAGGATTAGTGAAATGTCAAGGACGCGCGAGAGGAACGTCACCTATTAAAAAAATAAAAATTAAAAGTGATTTCAGCATAGTTCATGCTAAAGCGTAAATAACGCGTAGCGCCTTTAGGGGCAAAAAGGCCAAGGCACCCCTTGAAATTTTGTAAGGGATTGAGGATGTTGGTCAGGAAGAGAGAGAAGGCAAAGATGGGAGAGTTGAAGGTTAATCAGTAATTTAATCACAAATAAATCTAAAATTAATGTGAAAAGGAATGAGCCATCTACGTTAATCTGGGTTTAGGGGGTGGATGAGGGTGGAATTAGTGCAAGGCATGCTTTGAAAATGATGGGGCTGGTGCGTGGGCATGCAAGGATTGGTGAAATGTCAAGGACGCGCGAGAGGAACGTCACCTATTAAAAAAATAAAAATTTAAAGTGATTTCAGCATAGTTCATGCTAAAGCGTAAATAACGGACGTAGCGCCTTGAGGGTCAAAAAGGCCAAGGCACCCCTTGAAATTTTGTAAGGGATTGAGGATGTTGGTCAGGAAGAGAGAGAAGGCTAAGATGGGAGAGTTGAAGGTAAATCAGTAATTTAATCACAAATAAATCTAAAATTAATGTGAAAAGGAATGAGCCATCTACGTTAATCTGGGTTAAGGGGGTGGATGAGGGTGGAATTAGTGCAAGGCATGCTTTGAAAATGATGGGGCTGGTGTGTGGGCATGCAAGGATTGGTGAAATGTCAAGGAAGCGCGAGAGGAACGTCACCTATTAAAAAAATAAAAATTAAAAGTGATTTCAGCATAGTTCATGCTAAAGTGTAAATAACGGACGTAGCGCCTTGAGGGTCAAAAAGGCCAAGGCACCCCTTGAAATTTTGTAAGGGATTGAGGATGTTGGTCAGGAAGAGAGAGAAGGCAAAGATGGGAGAGTTGAAGGTCACTTAGAAATTAAATAGAAAATAAATATAAAATTTACTTACAAAAATATTAAGCCGGCTGCTTTACTCGATGTGCGTGGGTTGTTGAGGGTGGATTGAAAGTGAGGCACGCTTTGCAAATGATGTTGCTGCTCGGTGGGCTTGCATGGCTTGCTGAAAGACCAAAGAAGGGCAAGAGGAACGTCACCTATTAAAAAAATAATAATTAAAAGTGATTCAAACAGGAGACGAGCGAAGGAGAAAAAGGTGGACGACGAGCCGAGTGGGACAAACAGGCCAAGGCACCCCTTGAAATTTTGTAAGGGATTGAGGATGTTGGTCAGGAAGAGAGAGAAGGCAAGGAAGGAAGATTTGATGGTCACCCAGTAATTTAATCACAAATAAATCTAAAATTTATGTGAAAAGGAATGAGCCATCTACGTTAATCTGGGTTTAGGGGGTGGATGAGGGTGGAATTAGTGCAAGGCATGCTTTGAAAATGATGGGGCTGGTGCGTGGGCATGCAAGGATTAGTGAAATGTCAAGGACGCGCGAAAGGAACGTCACCTATTAAAAAAATAAAAATTAAAAGTGATTTCAGCATAGTTCATGCTAAAGCGTAAATAACGCGTAGCGCCTTTAGGGGCAAAAAGGCCAAGGCACCCCTTGAAATTTTGTAAGGGATTGAGGATGTTGGTCAGGAAGAGAGAGAAGGCAAAGATGGGAGAGTTGAAGGTTAATCAGTAATTTAATCACAAATAAATCTAAAATTAATGTGAAAAGGAATGAGCCATCTACGTTAATCTGGGTTTAGGGGGTGGATGAGGGTGGAATTAGTGCAAGGCATGCTTTGAAAATGATGGGGCTGGTGCGTGGGCATGCAAGGATTGGTGAAATGTCAAGGACGCGCGAGAGGAACGTCACCTATTAAAAAAATAAAAATTAAAAGTGATTTCAGCATAGTTCATGCTAAAGCGTAAATAACGCGTAGCGCCTTTAGGGGCAAAAAGGCCAAGGCACCCCTTGAAATTTTGTAAGGGATTGAGGATGTTGGTCAGGAAGAGAGAGAAGGCAAAGATGGGAGAGTTGAAGGTTAATCAGTAATTTAATCACAAATAAATCTAAAATTAATGTGAAAAGGAATGAGCCATCTACGTTAATCTGGGTTTAGGGGGTGGATGAGGGTGGAATTAGTGCAAGGCATGCTTTGAAAATGATGGGGCTGGTGCGTGGGCATGCAAGGATTGGTGAAATGTCAAGGACGCGCGAGAGGAACGTCACCTATTAAAAAAATAAAAATTAAAAGTGATTTCAGCATAGTTCATGCTAAAGCGTAAATAACGGACGTAGCGCCTTGAGGGTCAAAAAGGCCAAGGCACCCCTTGAAATTTTGTAAGGGATTGAGGATGTTGGTCAGGAAGAGAGAGAAGGCTAAGATGGGAGAGTTGAAGGTAAATCAGTAATTTAATCCCAAATAAATCTAAAATTAATGTGAAAAGGAATGAGCCATCTACGTTAATCTGGGTTAAGGGGGTGGATGAGGGTGGAATTAGTGCAAGGCATGCTTTGAAAATGATGGGGCTGGTGTGTGGGCATGCAAGGATTGGTGAAATGTCAAGGAAACGAGGAACGTCACCTATTAAAAAAATAAAAATTAAAAGTGATTTCAGCATAGTTCATGCTAAAGTGTAAATAACGGACGTAGCGCCTTGAGGGTCAAAAAGGCCAAGGCACCCCTTGAAATTTTGTAAGGGATTGAGGATGTTGGTCAGGAAGAGAGAGAAGGCAAAGATGGGAGAGTTGAAGGTCACTTAGAAATTAAATAGAAAATAAATATAAAATTTACTTACAAAAATATTAAGCCGGCTGCTTTACTCGATGTGCGTGGGTTGTTGAGGGTGGATTGAAAGTGAGGCACGCTTTGCAAATGATGTTGCTGCTCGGTGGGCTTGCATGGCTTGCTAAAAGACCAAAGAAGGGCCAGAGGGACGTCACCTATTAAAAAAATAATAATTAAAAGTGATTCAAACAGGAGACGAGCGAAGGAGAAAAAGGTGGACGACGAGCCGAGTGGGACAAACAAGCCAAGGCACCCCTTGAAATTTTGTAAGGGATTGAGGATGTTGGTCAGGAAGAGAGAGAAGGCAAGGAAGGAAGATTTGAAGGTCACCCAGTAATTTAATCACAAATAAATCTAAAATTAAAGTGAAAAGGAATGAGCCATCTACGTTAATCTGGGTTTAGGGGGTGGATGAGGGTGGAATTAGTGCAAGGCATGCTTTGAAAATGATGGGGCTGGTGCGTGGGCATGCAAGGATTGGTGAAATGTCAAGGAAGCGCGAGAGGAACGTCACGTATTAAAAAAAAAATTAAAAGTGATTTCAGCATAGTTCATGCTAAAGCGTAAATAACGGACGTAGCGCCTTGAGGGTCAAAAAAGCCAAGGCACCCCTTGAAATTTTGTAAGGGATTGAGGATGTTGGTCAGGAAGAGAGAGAAGGCTAAGATGGGAGAGTTGAAGGTAAATCAGTAATTTAATCACAAATAAATCTAAAATTAATGTGAAAAGGAATGAGCCATCTACGTTAATCTGGGTTAAGGGGGTGGATGAGGGTGGAATTAGTGCAAGGCATGCTTTGAAAATGATGGGGCTGGTGTGTGGGCATGCAAGGATTGGTGAAATGTCAAGGAAGCGCGAGAGGAACGTCACCTATTAAAAAAATAAAAATTAAAAGTGATTTCAGCATAGTTCATGCTAAAGTGTAAATAACGGACGTAGCGCCTTGAGGGTCAAAAAGGCCAAGGCACCCCTTGAAATTTTGTAAGGGATTGAGGATGTTGGTCAGGAAGAGAGAGAAGGCAAAGATGGGAGAGTTGAAGGTCACTTAGAAATTAAATAGAAAATAAATATAAAATTTACTTACAAAAATATTAAGCCGGCTGCTTTACTCGATGTGCGTGGGTTGTTGAGGGTGGATTGAAAGTGAGGCACGCTTTGCAAATGATGTTGCTGCTCGGTGGGCTTGCATGGCTTGCTGAAAGACCAAAGAAGGGCCAGAGGAACGTCACCTATTAAAAAAATAATAATTAAAAGTGATTCAAACAGGAGACGAGCGAAGGAGAAAAAGGTGGACGACGAGCCGAGTGGGACAAACAGGCCAAGGCACCCCTTGAAATTTTGTAAGGGATTGAGGATGTTGGTCAGGAAGAGAGAGAAGGCAAGGAAGGAAGATTTGATGGTCACCCAGTAATTTAATCACAAATAAATCTAAAATTTATGTGAAAAGGAATGAGCCATCTACGTTAATCTGGGTTTAGGGGGTGGATGAGGGTGGAATTAGTGCAAGGCATGCTTTGAAAATGATGGGGCTGGTGCGTGGGCATGCAAGGATTAGTGAAATGTCAAGGACGCGCGAGAGGAACGTCACCTATTAAAAAAATAAAAATTAAAAGTGATTTCAGCATAATTCATGCTAAAGCGTAAATAACGCGTAGCGCCTTTAGGGGCAAAAAGGCCAAGGCACCCCTTGAAATTTTGTAAGGGATTGAGGATGTTGGTCAGGAAGAGAGAGAAGGCAAAGATGGGAGAGTTGAAGGTCAATCAGTAATTTAATCACAAATAAATCTAAAATTAATGTGAAAAGGAATGAGCCATCTACGTTAATCTGGGTTTAGGGGGTGGATGAGGGTGGAATTAGTGCAAGGCATGCTTTGAAAATGATGGGGCTGGTGCGTGGGCATGCAAGGATTGGTGAAATGTCAAGGACGCGCGAGAGGAACGTCACCTATTAAAAAAATAAAAATTAAAAGTGATTTCAGCATAGTTCATGCTAAAGCGTAAATAACGCGTAGCGCCTTTAGGGGCAAAAAGGCCAAGGCACCCCTTGAAATTTTGTAAGGGATTGAGGATGTTGGTCAGGAAGAGAGAGAAGGCAAAGATGGGAGAGTTGAAGGTTAATCAGTAATTTAATCACAAATAAATCTAAAATTAATGTGAAAAGGAATGAGCCATCTATGTTAATCTGGGTTTAGGGGGTGGATGAGGGTGGAATTAGTGCAAGGCATGCTTTGAAAATGATGGGGCTGGTGCGTGGGCATGCAAGGATTGGTGAAATGTCAAGGACGCGCGAGAGGAACGTCACCTATTAAAAAAATAAAAATTAAAAGTGATTTCAGCATAGTTCATGCTAAAGCGTAAATAACGGACGTAGCGCCTTGAGGGTCAAAAAGGCCAAGGCACCCCTTGAAATTTTGTAAGGGATTGAGGATGTTGGTCAGGAAGAGAGAGAAGGCTAAGATGGGAGAGTTGAAGGTAAATCAGTAATTTAATCCCAAATAAATCTAAAATTAATGTGAAAAGGAATGAGCCATCTACGTTAATCTGGGTTAAGGGGGTGGATGAGGGTGGAATTAGTGCAAGGCATGCTTTGAAAATGATGGGGCTGGTGTGTGGGCATGCAAGGATTGGTGAAATGTCAAGGAAACGAGGAACGTCACCTATTAAAAAAATAAAAATTAAAAGTGATTTCAGCATAGTTCATGCTAAAGTGTAAATAACGGACGTAGCGCCTTGAGGGTCAAAAAGGCCAAGGCACCCCTTGAAATTTTGTAAGGGATTGAGGATGTTGGTCAGGAAGAGAGAGAAGGCAAAGATGGGAGAGTTGAAGGTCACTTAGAAATTAAATAGAAAATAAATATAAAATTTACTTACAAAAATATTAAGCCGGCTGCTTTACTCGATGTGCGTGGGTTGTTGAGGGTGGATTGAAAGTGAGGCACGCTTTGCAAATGATGTTGCTGCTCGGTGGGCTTGCATGGCTTGCTAAAAGACCAAAGAAGGGCCAGAGGGACGTCACCTATTAAAAAAATAATAATTAAAAGTGATTCAAACAGGAGACGAGCGAAGGAGAAAAAGGTGGACGACGAGCCGAGTGGGACAAACAAGCCAAGGCACCCCTTGAAATTTTGTAAGGGATTGAGGATGTTGGTCAGGAAGAGAGAGAAGGCAAGGAAGGAAGATTTGAAGGTCACCCAGTAATTTAATCACAAATTAATCTAAAATTAAAGTGAAAAGGAATGAGCCATCTACGTTAATCTGGGTTTAGGGGGTGGATGAGGGTGGAATTAGTGCAAGGCATGCTTTGAAAATGATGGGGCTGGTGCGTGGGCATGCAAGGATTGGTGAAATGTCAAGGAAGCGCGAGAGGAACGTCACGTATTAAAAAAAAATTAAAAGTGATTTCAGCATAGTTCATGCTAAAGCGTAAATAACGGACGTAGCGCCTTGAGGGTCAAAAAAGCCAAGGCACCCCTTGAAATTTTGTAAGGGATTGAGGATGTTGGTCAGGAAGAGAGAGAAGGCAAAGATGGGAGAGTTGAAGGTCACTTAGAAATTAAATAGAAAATAAATATAAAATTTACTTACAAAAATATTAAGCCGGCTGCTTTACTCGATGTGCGTGGGTTGTTGAGGGTGGATTGAAAGTGAGGCACGCTTTGCAAATGATGTTGCTGCTCGGTGGGCTTGCATGGCTTGCTGAAAGACCAAAGAAGGGCCAGAGGGACGTCACCTATTAAAAAAATAATAATTAAAAGTGATTCAAACAGGAGACGAGCGAAGGAGAAAAAGGTGGACGACGAGCCGAGTGGGACAAACAAGCCAAGGCACCCCTTGAAATTTTGTAAGGGATTGAGGATGTTGGTCAGGAAGAGAGAGAAGGCAAGGAAGGAAGATTTGAAGGTCACCCAGTAATTTAATCACAAATAAATCTAAAATTAAAGTGAAAAGGAATGAGCCATCTACGTTAATCTGGGTTTAGGGGGTGGATGAGGGTGGATTTAGTGCAAGGCATGCTTTGAAAATGATGGGGCTGGTGCGTGGGCATGCAAGGATTGGTGAAATGTCAAGGAAGCGCGAGAGGAACGTCACCTATTAAAAAAATAAAAATTAAAAGTGATTTCAGCATAGTTCATGCTAAAGTGTAAATAACGGACGTAGCGCCTTGAGGGTCAAAAAGGCCAAGGCACCCCTTGAAATTTTGTAAGGGATTGAGGATGTTGGTCAGGAAGAGAGAGAAGGCAAAGATGGGAGAGTTGAAGGTCACTTAGAAATTAAATAGAAAATAAATATAAATTTTACTTACAAAAATATTAAGCCGGCTGCTTTACTCGATGTGCGTGGGTTGTTGAGGGTGGATTGAAAGTGGGGCACGCTTTGCAAATGATGTTGCTGCTCGGTGGGCTTGCATGGCTTGCTGAAAGACCAAAGAAGGGCCAGAGGAACGTCACCTATTAAAAAAATAATAATTAAAAGTGATTCAAACAGGAGACGAGCGAAGGAGAAAACGGTGGACGACATGCCGAGTGGGAAAAACAGGCCAAGGCACCCCTTGAAATTTTGTAAGGGATTGAGGATGTTGGTCAGGAAATGAGAGAAGGCAAGGAAGGAAGATTTGATGGTCACCCAGTAATTTAATCACAAATAAATCTAAAATTAATGTGAAAAGGAATGAGCCATCTACGTTAATCTGGGTTTAGGGGGTGGATGAGGGTGGAATTAGTGCAAGGCATGCTTTGAAAATGATGGGGCTGGTGCGTGGGCATGCAAGGATTGGTGAAATGTCAAGGAAGCGCGAGAGGAACGTCACCTATTAAAAAAATAAAAATTAAAAGTGATTTCAGCATAGTTCATGCTAAAGCGTAAATAACGGAGGTAGCGCCTTGAGGGTCAAAAAGGCCAAGGCAACCCTTGAAATTTTGTAAGGGATTGAGGATGATGGTCAGGAAGAGAGAGAAGGCAAAGATGGGAGAGTTGAAGGTCACTTAGAAATTAAATAGAAAATAAATATAAAATTTACTTACAAAAATATTAAGCCGGCTGCTTTACTCGATGTGCGTGGGTTGTTGAGGGTGGATTGAAAGTGAGGCACGCTTTGCAAATGATGTTGCTGCTCGGTGGGCTTGCATGGCTTGCTGAAAGACCAAAGAAGGGCCAGAGGAACGTCACCTATTAAAAAAATAATAATTAAAAGCGATTCAAACAGGAGACGAGTGAAGGAGAAAAAGGTGGACGACGAGCCGAGTGGGACAAACAGGCCAAGGCACCCCTTGAAATTTTGTAAGGGATTGAGGATGTTGGTTAGGAAGAGAGAGAAGGCAAGGAAGGAAGATATGAAGGTCACCCAGTAATTTAATCACAAATAAATCTAAAATTAATGTGAAAAGGAATGAGCCATCTACGTTAATCTGGGTTTAGGGGGTGGATGAGGGTGGAATTAGTGCAAGGCATGCTTTGAAAATGATGGGGCTGGTGCGTGGGCATGCAAGGATTGGTGAAATGTCAAGGAAGCGCGAGAGGAACGTCACCTATTAAAAAAAATAAAAATTAAAAGTGATTTCAGCATAGTTCATGCTAAAGCGTAAATAACGGACGTAGCGCCTTGAGGGTCAAAAAGGCCAAGGCACCCCTTGAAATTTTGTAAGGGATTGAGGATGTTGGTCAGGACGAGAGAGAAGGCAAAGATGGGAGAGTTGAAGGTCACGTAGAAATTAAATAGAAAATAAATATAAAATTTACTTACAAAAATATTAAGCCGGCTGCTTTACTCGATGTGCGTGGGTTGTTGAGGGTGGATTGAAAGTGAGGCACGCTTTGCAAATGATGTTGCTGCTCGGTGGGCTTGCATGGCTTGCTGAAAGACCAAAGAAGGGCCAGAGGAATGTCACCTATTAAAAAAATAATAATTAAAAGTGATTCAAACAGGAGACGAGCGAAGGAGAAAAAGGTGGACGACGAGCTGAGTGGGACAAACAGTCAAGGCACCCCTTGAAATTTTGTAAGGGATTGAGGATGTATGTCAGGAAGAGAGAGAAGGCAAGGAAGGAAGATTTGATGGTCACCCAGTAATTTAATCACAAATAAATCTAAAATTAATGTGAAAAGGAATGAGCCATCTACGTTAATCTGGGTTTAGGGGGTGGATGAGGGTGGAATTTAGTGCAAGGCATGCTTTGAAAATGATGGGTCTGGTGCGTGGGCATGCAAGGATTGGTGAAATGTCAAGGACGCGCGAGAGGAACGTCACCTATTAAAAAAATAAAAATTAAAAGTGATTTCAGCATAGTTCATGCTAAAGCGTAAATAACGGACGTAGCGCCTTGAGGGTCAAAAAGGCCAAGGCACCCCTTGAAATTTTGTAAGGGATTGAGGATGTTGGTCAGGAAGAGAGAGAAGGCAAAGATGGGAGAGTTGAAGGTCAATCAGTAATTTAATCACAATACAGAAATATAAAGATAAATATTTTCAAATGTTTTAAAATTTAAATAATTCAAAGGAGTACCTTAAAAATTTGGAGATCGGACTCCCCTCTTCACTTGAAATGCGCCAAGGTGTCCGAAGATTGGCCTGCGTCGTTTTTCGTTTGCCGTTTTTAACGTCCTTCAAAAAACTGATACAGAAAATGCTATTTATTACTTCATTTTTATTACAAAAATGTAAAGATAAATTTAAGAGTTAAATTCTGTATTACATAAATGCTGTACTTTGTGCAATTATGATAAAATTTTATTTACGTATGGCACGCAATGAAGGAGAAAATCTGATGGAACCCACAATTTTTATTAATTACATATAGATTAAAAACTTTAAAAAATATCAATAAGCGATCTTACCTTAACAAAGAATTTTCGCTGAATTTCGGCCCCGCGCGGCCGCGGCCCAACTGCGTAGTCAACCGTCAAAACTCGGGGCTTTCGCCGAGTTAAGCTCGCGGGGCTACCTCTGTGTTGGCAGAAATCTTCACATCGGCGACGTTTCAAACTTTTTTGCGCTGAATTTTAGCCCCGGCTGGCCCAAAATTCATCGTCAACAGTCAAACTCCGGGCTTTCGCTGAGTTTCGCTCCCGGCCGGGGCTTGCCGTTGGCATATTCACATATCGGCGGCGTTTCAAACACAAATAGTAGCACTACACATTAATTAAGAGTTTACATTCCCAAAAAACCCCACAAATGCAAGAAAACAACAACATTTGAGAGATAACCGACCGTGGCGACCGTGCTGTGTTGTTTTTCAACGGCCACTTGAAATTGGTACTTTTACCAGATTCAAATGAAGAGCGAGTGGCGTCGGGCTGACGTCAGCGGCAAGGAGAGTTTTGATTGGCTATGCGCGCGCATACAGAGGGGGGATTTTCACTTTGCGCGCGAGGAGAGAAATCGCGTACTCGCTTTTTCCACACGCAAATATATTTATTATATTTATAAAATTTACTATTTAAACATTTAGAGTTAAAATTTACCAAAATTACTTATATAGAAAATTAAATTATTATTGAACGCCTGAAAATTAAAAAAATATTATCGTTAAATAAACTGTAAATTAATTATTATTTGTTAAAATTAATTAAAATAAATTTGAAGGGACTGAAAGTTTAATTAAATAAATATAAATTGATTTATGTATTTTAATTATTATTACAATATTGATATTGAATTTTTTAATAAAAAATAATTTAAATAAATTTTTAGTATTATGAATTGTTTATAAAAGTAATTTTTTTTAACAATTAAATAATTAATAAATAAATCAATGCAAAAATCTTTTTTCAAAATCGTCAAAATTAAAAAAACCTTTTCTGGCGAACGTTCCGAACATCATGAAATCCAAACCTGAACGGGTTATTATTTTTAACAGATTCTGTGGTCCATAATTTTTACCCCTACGCCCCTAGACCCACCCTTGAGGCCGACCCGACATACAAATTTTTGACGACCATCTAGAAATCGCGATTTAAATATTCAAATAGTTTCTAGAAAAAGACCAAAGAAGGGCCAGAGGAACGTCACCTATTAAAAAAATAATAATTAAAAGTGATTCAAACAGGAAACGAGCGAAGGAGAAAAAGGTGGACGACGAGCTGAGTGGGACAAACAGGCCAAGGCACCCCTTGAAATTTTGTAAGGGATTGAGGATGTTGGTCAGGAAGAGAGAGAAGGCAAGGAAGGAAGATTTGAAGGTCACCCAGTAATTTAATCACAAATAAATCTAAAATTAAAGTGAAAAGGAATGAGCCATCTACGTTAATCTGGGTTTAGGGGGTGGATGAGGGTGGAATTAGTGCAAGGCATGCTTTGAAAATGATGGGGCTGGTGCGTGGGCATGCAAGGATTGGTGAAATGTCAAGGAAGCGCGAGAGGAACGTCACGTATTAAAAAAAAAATTAAAAGTGATTTCAGCATAGTTCATGCTAAAGCGTAAATAACGGACGTAGCGCCTTGAGGGTCAAAAAGGCCAAGGCACCCCTTGAAATTTTGTAAGGGATTGAGGATGTTGGTCAGGAAGAGAGAGAAGGCAAAGATGGGAGAGTTGAAGGTCACTTAGAAATTAAATAGAAAAAAAATATAAAATTTACTTACAAAAATATTAAGCCGGCTGCTTTACTCGATGTGCGTGGGTTGTTGAGGGTGGATTGAAAGTGAGGCACGCTTTGCAAATGATGTTGCTGCTCGGTGGGCTTGCATGGCTTGCTGAAAGACCAAAGAAGGGCCAGAGGAACGTCACCTATTAAAAAAATAATAATTAAAAGTGATTCAAACAGGAGACGAGCGAAGGAGAAAAAGGTGGACGACGAGCCGAGTGGGACAAACAGGCCAAGGCACCCCTTGAAATTTTGTAAGGGATTGAGGATGTTGGTCAGGAAGAGAGAGAAGGCAAGGAAGGAAGATTTGATGGTCACCCAGTAATTTAATCACAAATAAATCTAAAATTAATGTGAAAAGGAATGAGCCATCTACGTTAATCTGGGTTTAGGGGGTGGATGAGGGTGGAATTAGTGCAAGGTATGCTTTGAAAATGATGGGGCTGGTGCGTGGGCATGCAAGGATTAGTGAAATGTCAAGGACGCGCGAGAGGAACGTCACCTATTAAAAAAATAAAAATTAAAAGTGATTTCAGCATAGTTCATGCTAAAGCGTAAATAACGGACGTAGCGCCTTGAGGGTCAAAAAGGCCAAGGCACCCCTTGAAATTTTGTAAGGGATTGAGGATGTTGGTCAGGAAGAGAGAGAAGGCAAAGATGGGAGAGTTGAAGGTCACTTAGAAATTAAATAGAAAATAAATATAAAATTTACTTTCAAAAATATTAAGCCGGCGGCTTTACTCGATGTGCGTGGGTTGTTGAGGGTGGATTGAAAGTGAGGCACGCTTTGCAAATGATGTTGCTGCTCGGTGGGCTTGCATGGCTTGCTGAAAGACCAAAGAAGGGCCAGAGGGACGTCACCTATTAAAAAAATAATAATTAAAAGTGATTCAAACAGGAGACGAGCGAAGGAGAAAAAGGTGGACGACGAGCCGAGTGGGACAAACAAGCCAAGGCACCCCTTGAAATTTTGTAAGGGATTGAGGATGTTGGTCAGGAAGAGAGAGAAGGCAAGGAAGGAAGATTTGAAGGTCACCCAGTAATTTAATCACAAATAAATCTAAAATTAAAGTGAAAAGGAATGAGCCATCTACGTTAATCTGGGTTTAGGGGGTGGATGAGGGTGGAATTAGTGCAAGGCATGCTTTGAAAATGATGGGGCTGGTGCGTGGGCATGCAAGGATTGGTGAAATGTCAAGGAAGCGCGAGAGGAACGTCACCTATTAAAAAAATAAAAATTAAAAGTGATTTCAGCATAGTTCATGCTAAAGCGTAAATAACGGACGTAGCGCCTTGAGGGTCAAAAAGGCCAAGGCACCCCTTGAAATTTTGTAAGGGATTGAGGATGTTGGTCAGGAAGAGAGAGAAGGCAAAGATGGGAGAGTTGAAGGTCACTTAGAAATTAAATAGAAAATAAATATAAAATATACTTACAAAAATATTAAGCCGGCTGCTTTACTCGATGTGCGTGGGTTGTTGAGGGTGGATTGAAAGTGAGGCACGCTTTGCAAATGATGTTGCTGCTCGGTGGGCTTGCATGGCTTGCTGAAAGACCAAAGAAGGGCCAGAGGAACGTCACCTATTAAAAAAATAATAATTAAAAGTGATTCAAACAGGAGACGAGCGAAGGAGAAAAAGGTGGACGACGAGCCGAGTGGGACAAACAGGCCAAGGCACCCCTTGAAATTTTGTAAGGGATTGAGGATGTTGGTCAGGAAGAGAGAGAAGGCAAGGAAGGAAGATTTGATGGTCACCCAGTAATTTAATCACAAATAAATCTAAAATTTATGTGAAAAGGAATGAGCCATCTACGTTAATCTGGGTTTAGGGGGTGGATGAGGGTGGAATTAGTGCAAGGCATGCTTTGAAAATGATGGGGCTGGTGCGTGGGCATGCAAGGATTAGTGAAATGTCAAGGACGCGCGAGAGGAACGTCACCTATTAAAAAAATAAAAATTAAAAGTGATTTCAGCATAGTTCATGCTAAAGCGTAAATAACGGACGTAGCGCCTTGAGGGTCAAAAAGGCCAAGGCACCCCTTGAAATTTTGTAAGGGATTGAGGATGTTGGTCAGGAAGAGAGAGAAGGCAAAGATGGGAGAGTTGAAGGTTAATCAGTAATTTAATCACAAATAAATCTAAAATTAATGTGAAAAGGAATGAGCCATCTACGTTAATCTGGGTTTAGGGGGTTGATGAGGGTGGAATTAGTGCAAGGCATGCTTTGAAAATGATGGGGCTGGTGCGTGGGCATGCAAGGATTGGTGAAATGTCAAGGACGCGCGAGAGGAACGTCACCTATTAAAAAAATTAAAAGTGATTTCAGCATAGTTCATGCTAAAGCGTAAATAACGGACGTAGCGCCTTGAGGGTCAAAAAGGCCAAGGCACCCCTTGAAATTTTGTAAGGGATTGAGGATGTTGGTCAGGAAGAGAGAGAAGGCAAAGATGGGAGAGTTGAAGGTCACTTAGAAATTAAATAGAAAATAAATATAAAATTTACTTACAAAAATATTAAGCCGGCTGCTTTACTCGATGTGCGTGGGTTGTTGAGGGTGGATTGAAAGTGAGGCACGCTTTGCAAATGATGTTGCTGCTCGGTGGGCTTGCATGGCTTGCTGAAAGACCAAAGAAGGGCCAGAGGGACGTCACCTATTAAAATAATAATAATTAAAAGTGATTCAAACAGGAGACGAGCGAAGGAGAAAAAGGTGGACGACGAGCCGAGTGGGACAAACAAGCCAAGGCACCCCTTGAAATTTTGTAAGGGATTGAGGATGTTGGTCAGGAAGAGAGAGAAGGCAAGGAAGGAAGATTTGAAGGTCACCCAGTAATTTAATCACAAATAAATCTAAAATTAAAGTGAAAAGGAATGAGCCATCTACGTTAATCTGGGTTTAGGGGGTGGATGAGGGTGGAATTAGTGCAAGGCATGCTTTGAAAATGATGGGGCTGGTGCGTGGGCATGCAAGGATTGGTGAAATGTCAAGGAAGCGCGAGAGGAACGTCACGTATTAAAAAAAAAAATTAAAAGTGATTTCAGCATAGTTCATGCTAAAGCGTAAATAACGGACGTAGCGCCTTGAGGGTCAAAAAGGCCAAGGCACCCCTTGAAATTTTGTAAGGGATTGAGGATGTTGGTCAGGAAGAGAGAGAAGGCAAAGATGGGAGAGTTGAAGGTCACTTAGAAATTAAATAGAAAATAAATATAAAATTTACTTACAAAAATATTAAGCCGGCTGCTTTACTCGATGTGCGTGGGTTGTTGAGGGTGGATTGAAAGTGAGGCACGCTTTGCAAATGATGTTGCTGCTCGGTGGGCTTGCATGGCTTGCTGAAAGACCAAAGAAGGGCCAGAGGAACGTCACCTATTAAAAAAATAATAATTAAAAGTGATTCAAACAGGAGACGAGCGAAGGAGAAAAAGGTGGACGACGAGCCGAGTGGGACAAACAGGCCAAGGCACCCCTTGAAATTTTGTAAGGGATTGAGGATGTTGGTCAGGAAGAGAGAGAAGGCAAGGAAGGAAGAATTTATGGTCACCCAGTAATTTAATCACAAATAAATCTAAAATTTATGTGAAAAGGAATGAGCCATCTACGTTAATCTGGGTTTAGGGGGTGGATGAGGGTGGAATTAGTGCAAGGCATGCTTTGAAAATGATGGGGATGGTGCGTGGGCATGCAAGGATTGGTGAAATGTCAAGGACGCGCGAGAGGAACGTCACCTATTAAAAAAATAAAAATTAAAAGTGATTTCAGCATAGTTCATGCTAAAGCGTAAATAACGGACGTAGCGCCTTGAGGGTCAAAAAGGCCAAGGCACCCCTTGAAATTTTGTAAGCGATTGAGGATGTTGGTCAGGAAGAGAGAGAAGGCTAAGATGGGAGAGTTGAAGGTCACTTAGAAATTAAATAGAAAATAAATATAAAATTTACTTACAAAAATATTAAGCCGGCTGCTTTACTCGATGTGCGTGGGTTGTTGAGGGTGGATTGAAAGTGAGGCACGCTTTGCAAATGATGTTGCTGCTCGGTGGGCTTGCATGGCTTGCTGAAAGACCAAAGAAGGGCCAGAGGGACGTCACCTATAAAAAAAATAATAATTAAAAGTGATTCAAACAGGAGACGAGCGAAGGAGAAAAAGGTGGACGACGAGCCGAGTGGGACAAACAAGCCAAGACACCCCTTGAAATTTTGTAAGGGATTGAAGATGTTGGTCAGGAAGAGAGAGAAGGCAAGGAAGGAAGATTTGAAGGTCACCCAGTAATTTAATCACAAATAAATCTAAAATTAAAGTGAAAAGGAATGAGCCATCTACGTTAATCTGGGTTTATGGGGTGGATGAGGGTGGAATTAGTGCAAGGCATGCTTTGAAAATGATGGGGCTGGTGCGTGGGCATGCAAGGATTGGTGAAATGTCAAGGAAGCGCGAGAGGAACGTCACGTATTAAAAAAAAAAATTAAAAGTGATTTCAGCATAGTTCATGCTAAAGCGTAAATAACGGACGTAGCGCCTTGAGGGTCAAAAAGGCCAAGGCACCCCTTGAAATTTTGTAAGGGATTGAGGATGTTGGTCAGGAAGAGAGAGAAGGCAAAGATGGGAGAGTTGAAGGTCACTTAGAAATTAAATAGAAAATAAATATAAAATTTACTTACAAAAATATTAAGCCGGCTGCTTTACTCGATGTGCGTGGGTTGTTGAGGGTGGATTGAAAGTGAGGCACGCTTTGCAAATGATGTTGCTGCTCGGTGGGCTTGCATGGCTTGCTGAAAGACCAAAGAAGGGCCAGAGGGACGTCACCTATTAAAAAAATAATAATTAAAAGTGATTCAAACAGTAGACGAGCGAAGGAGAAAAAGGCGGACGACGAGCCGAGTGGGACAAACAAGCCAAGACACCCCTTGAAATTTTGTAAGGGATTGAGGATGTTGGTCAGGAAGAGAGACAAGGCAAGGAAGGAAGATTTGAAGGTCACCCAGTAATTTAATCACAAATATATCTAAAATTAAAGTGAAAAGGAATGAGCCATCTACGTTAATCTGGGTTTAGGGGGTGGATGAGGGTGGAATTAGTGCAAGGCATGCTTTGAAAATGATGGGGCTGGTGCGTGGGCATGCAAGGATTGGTGAAATGTCAAGGAAGCGCGAGAGGAACGTCACGTATTAAAAAAATAAAAATTAAAAGTGATTTCAGCATAGTTCATGCTAAAGCATAAATAACGGACGTAGCGCCTTGAGGGTCAAAAAGGCCAAGGCACCCCTTGAAATTTTGTAAGGGATTGAGGATGTTGGTCAGGAAGAGAGAGAAGGCAAAGATGGGAGAGTTGAAGGTCACTTAGAAATTAAATAGAAAATAAATATAAAATTTACTTAAAAAATATTAAGCCGGCTGCTTTACTCGATGTGCGTGGGTTGTTGAGGGTGGATTGAAAGTGAGGCACGCTATGCACATGATGTTGCTGCTCGGTGGGCTTGCATGGCTTGCTTAAAGACCAAAGAAGGGCCAGAGGAACGTCACCTATTAAAAAAATAATAATTAAAAGTGATTCAAACAGGAGACGAGCGAAGGAGAAAAAGGTGGACGACAAGCCGAGTGGGACAAACAGGCCAAGGCACCCCTTGAAATTTTGTAAGGGATATAGGATGTTGGTCAGGAAGAGAGAGAAGGCAAGGAAGGAAGATTTGATGGTCACCCAGTAATTTAATGACAAATAAATCTAAAATTAATGTGAAAAGGAATGAGCCATCTACGTTAATCTGGGTTTAGGGGGTGGATGAGGGTGGAATTAGTGCAAGGCATGCTTTGAAAATGATGGGGCTGGTGCGTGGGCATGCAAGGATTAGTGAAATGTCAAGGACGCGCGAGAGGAACGTCACCTATTAAAAAAATAAAAATTAAAAGTGATTTCAGCATAGTTCATGCTAAAGCGTAAATAACGGACGTAGCGCCTTGAGGGTCAAAAAGGCCAAGGCACCCCTTGAAATTTTGTAAGGGATTGAGGATGTTGGTCAGGAAGAGAGACAAGGCAAGGAAGGAAGATTTGAAGGTCACCCAGTAATTTAATCACAAATAAATCTAAAATTAAAGTGAAAAGGAATGAGCCATCTACGTTAATCTGGGTTTAGGGGGTGGATGAGGGTGGAATTAGTGCAAGGCATGCTTTGAAAATGATGGGGCTGGTGCGTGGGCATGCAAGGATTGGTGAAATGTCAAGGAAGCGCGAGAGGAACGTCACGTATTAAAAAAATAAAAATTAAAAGTGATTTCAGCATAGTTCATGCTAAAGCATAAATAACGGACGTAGCGCCTTGAGGGTCAAAAAGGCCAAGGCACCCCTTGAAATTTTGTAAGGGATTGAGGATGTTGGTCAGGAAGAGAGAGAAGGCAAAGATGGGAGAGTTGAAGGTCACTTAGAAATTAAATAGAAAATAAATATAAAATTTACTTAAAAAATATTAAGCCGGCTGCTTTACTCGATGTGCGTGGGTTGTTGAGGGTGGATTGAAAGTGAGGCACGCTATGCACATGATGTTGCTGCTCGGTGGGCTTGCATGGCTTGCTTAAAGACCAAAGAAGGGCCAGAGGAACGTCACCTATTAAAAAAATAATAATTAAAAGTGATTCAAACAGGAGACGAGCGAAGGAGAAAAAGGTGGACGACAAGCCGAGTGGGACAAACAGGCCAAGGCACCCCTTGAAATTTTGTAAGGGATATAGGATGTTGGTCAGGAAGAGAGAGAAGGCAAGGAAGGAAGATTTGATGGTCACCCAGTAATTTAATGACAAATAAATCTAAAATTAATGTGAAAAGGAATGAGCCATCTACGTTAATCTGGGTTTAGGGGGTGGATGAGGGTGGAATTAGTGCAAGGCATGCTTTGAAAATGATGGGGCTGGTGCGTGGGCATGCAAGGATTAGTGAAATGTCAAGGACGCGCGAGAGGAACGTCACCTATTAAAAAAATAAAAATTAAAAGTGATTTCAGCATAGTTCATGCTAAAGCGTAAATAACGGACGTAGCGCCTTGAGGGTCAAAAAGGCAAAGGCACCCCTTGAAATTTTGAAAGGGATTGAGGATGTTAGTCAGGAAGAGAGAGAAGGCTAAGATGGGAGAGTTGAAGGTCAATCAGTAATTTAATCACAAATAAATCTAAAATTAATGTGAAAAGGAATGAGCCATCTACGTTAATCTGGGTTTAGGGGGTGGATGAGGGTGGAATTAGTGCAAGGCATGCTTTGAAAATGATGGGGCTGGTGCGTGGGCATGCAAGGATTGGTGAAATGTCAAGGAAGCGCGAGAGGAACGTCACGTATTAAAAAAAAAAAATTAAAAGTGATTTCAGCATAGTTCATGCTAAAGCGTAAATATAGGACGTAGCGCCTTGAGGGTCAAAGCACCCCTTGAAATTTTGTAAGGGATTGAGGATGTTGGTCAGGAAGAGAGAGAAGGCAAAGATGGGAGAGTTGAAGGTCACTTAGAAATTAAATAGAAAATAAATATAAAATTTACTTACAAAAATACTAAGCCGGCTGCTTTACTCGATGTGCGTGGGTTGTTGAGGGTGGATTGAAAGTGAGGCACGCTTTGCAAATGATGTTGCTGCTCGGTGGGCTTGCATGGCTTGCTGAAAGACCAAAGAAGGGCAAGAGGGACGTCACCTATTAAAAAAATAATAATTAAAAGTGATTCAAACAGGAGACGAGCGAAGGAGAAAAAGGTGGACGACGAGCCGAGTGGGACAAACAAGCCAAGACACCCCTTGAAATTTTGTAAGGGATTGAGGATGTTGGTCAGGAAGAGAGAGAAGGCAAGGAAGGAAGATTTGAAGGTCACCCAGTAATTTAATCACAAATAAATCTAAAATTAAAGTGAAAAGGAATGAGCCATCTACGTTAATCTGGGTTTAGGGGGTGGATGAGGGTGGAATTAGTGCAAGGCATGCTTTGAAAATGATGGGGCTGGTGCGTGGGCATGCAAGGATTGGTGAAATGTCAAGGAAGCGCGAGAGGAACGTCACGTATTAAAAAAAAAAAAAATAAAAGTGATTTCAGCATGGTTCATGCTAAAGCGTAAATAACGGACGTAGCGCCTTGAGGGTCAAAAAGGCCAAGGCACCCCTGAAATTTTGTAAGGGATTGAGGATGTTGGTCAGGAAGAGAGAGAAGGCAAAGATGGGAGAGTTGAAGGTCACTTAGAAATTAAATAGAAAATAAATATAAAATTTACTTACAAAAATATTAAGCCGGCTGCTTTACTCGATGTGCGTGGGTTGTTGAGGGTGGATTGAAAGTGAGGCACGCTTTGCAAATGATGCTGCTGCTCGGTGGGCTTGCATGGCTTGCTGAAAGACCAAAGAAGGGCCAGAGGAACGTCACCCATTAAAGAAATATTAATTAAAAGTGATTCAAACAGGAGACGAGCGAAGGAGAAAAAGGTGGACGACGAGCCGAGTGGGACAAACAGGCCAAGGCACCCCTTGAAATTTTGTAAGGGATTGAGGATGTTGGTCAGGAAGAGAGAGAAGGCAAGGAAGGAAGATTTGAAGGTCACCCAGTAATTTAATCACAAATAAATCTAAAATTAATGTGAAAAGGAATGAGACATCTACGTTAATCTGGGTTTAGGGGGTGGATGAAGGTGGAATTAGTGCAAGGCATGCTTTGAAAATGATGGGGCTGGTGCGTGGGCATGCAAGGATTGGTGAAATGTCAAGGAAGCGCGAGAGGAACGTAACGTATTAAAAAAAAAAATTAAAAGTGATTTCAGCATAGTTCATGCTAAAGCGTAAATAACGGACGTAGCGCCTTGAGGGTCAAAAAGGCCAAGGCACCCCTTGAAATTTTGTAAGGGATTGAGGATGTTGGTCAGGAAGAGAGAGAAGGCAAAGATGGGAGAGTTGAAGGTCACTTAGAAATTAAATAGAAAATAAATATAAAATTTACTTACAAAAATATTAAGCCGGCTGCTTTACTCGATGTGCGTGGGTTGTTGAGGGTGGATTGAAAGTGAGGCACGCTTTGCAAATGATGTTGCTGCTCGGTGGGCTTGCATGGCTTGCTGAAAGACCAAAGAAGGGCCAGAGGAACGTCACCTATTAAAAAAATAATAATTAAAAGTGATTCAAACAGGAGACGAGCGAAGGAGAAAAAGGTGGACGACGAGCCGAGTGGGACAAACAGGCCAAGGCACCCCTTGAAATTTTGTAAGGGATTGAGGATGTTGGTCAGGAAGAGAGAGAAGGCAAGGAAGGAAGATTTGATGGTCACCCAGTAATTTAATCACAAATAAATCTAAAATTTATGTGAAAAGGAATGAGCCATCTACGTTAATCTGGGTTTAGGGGGTGGATGAGGGTGGAATTAGTGCAAGGCATGCTTTGAAAATGATGGGGCTGGTGCGTGGGCATGCAAGGATTAGTGAAATGTCAAGGACGCGCGAGAGGAACGTCACCTATTAAAAAAATAAAAATTTAAAGTGATTTCAGCATAGTTCATGCTAAAGCGTAAATAACGCGTAGCGCCTTTAGGGGCAAAAAGGCCAAGGCACCCCTTGAAATTTTGTAAGGGATTGAGGATGTTGGTCAGGAAGAGAGAGAAGGCAAAGATGGGAGAGTTGAAGGTTAATCAGTAATTTAATCACAAATAAATCTAAAATTAATGTGAAAAGGAATGAGCCATCTACGTTAATCTGGGTTTAGGGGGTGGATGAGGGTGGAATTAGTGCAAGGCATGCTTTGAAAATGATGGGGCTGGTGCGTGGGCATGCAAGGATTGGTGAAAAGTCAAGGAAGCGCGAGAGGAACGTCACCTATTAAAAAAATAAAAATTAAAAGTGATTTCAGCATAGTTCATGCTAAAGCGTAAATAACGGACGTAGCGCCTTGAGGGTCAAAAAGGCCAAGGCACCCCTTGAAATTTTGTAAGGGATTGAGGATGTTGGTCAGGAAGAGAGAGAAGGCAAAGATGGGAGAGTTGAAGGTCACTTAGAAATTAAATAGAAAATAAATATAAAATTTACTTACAAAAATATTAAGCCGGCTGCTTTACTCGATGTGCGTGGGTTGTTGAGGGTGGATTGAAAGTGAGGCACGCTTTGCAAATGATGTTGCTGCTCGGTGGGCTTGCATGGCTTGCTGAAAGACCAAAGAAGGGCCAGAGGAACGTCACCTATTAAAAAAATAATAATTAAAAGTGATTCAAACAGGAGACGAGCGAAGGAGAAAAAGGTGGACGACGAGCCGAGTGGGACAAACAGGCCAAGGACCCCCTTGAAATTTTGTAAGGTATTGAGGATGTTGGTCAGGAAATGAGAGAAGGCAAGGAAGGAAGATTTGATGGTCACCCAGTAATTTAATCACAAATAAATCTAAAATTAATGTGAAAAGGAATGAGCCATCTACGTTAATCTGGGTTGAGGGGGTGGATGAGGGTGGAATTAGTGCAAGGCATGCTTTGAAAATGATGGGGCTGGTGCGTGGGCATGCAAGGATTGGTGAAATGTCAAGGAAGCGCGAGACGAACGTCACCTATTAAAAAAATAAAAATTAAAAGTGTTCAGTATAGTTCATGCTAAAGCAAAAATAATGGACGTAGCGCCTTGAGGGTCAAAAAGGCCAAGGCACCCCTTGAAATTTTGTAAGGGATTGAGGATGTTGGTCAGGAAGAGAGAGAAGGCAAAGATGGGAGAGTTGAAGGTCACTTAGAAATTAAATAGAAAATAAATATAAAATTTACTTACAAAAATACTAAGCCGGCTGCTTTACTCGATGTGCGTGGGTTGTTGAGGGTGGATTGAAAGTGAGGTACGCTTTGCAAATGATGTTGCTGCTCGGTGGGCTTGCATGGCTTGCTGAAAGACCAAAGAAGGGCCAGAGGAACGTCACCTATTAAAAAAATAATAATTAAAAGTGATTCAAACAGGAGACGAGCGAAGGAGAAAAAGGTGGACGACGAGCCGAGTGGGACAAACAGGCCAAGGCACCCCTTGAAATTTTGTAAGGGATTGAGGATGTTGGTCAGGAAGAGAGAGAAGGCAAGGAAGGAAGATTTGAAGGTCACCCAGTAATTTAATCACAAATAAATCTAAAATTAATGTGAAAAGGAATGAGCCATCTACGTTAATCTGGGTTTAGGGGGTGGATGAGGGTGGAATTAGTGCAAGGCATGCTTTGAAAATGATGGGGCTGGTGCGTGGGCATGCAAGGATTGGTGAAATGTCAAGGAAGCGCGAGAGGAACGTCACGTATTAAAAAAAAAAAAAAATTAAAAGTGATTTCAGCATAGTTCATGCTAAAGCGTAAATAACGCGTAGCGCCTTTAGGGGCAAAAAGGCCAAGGCACCCCTTGAAATTTTGTAAGGGATTGAGGATGTTGGTCAGGAAGAGAGAGAAGGCAAAGATGGGAGAGTTGAAGGTCACTTAGAAATTAAATAGAAAAAAAATATAAAATTTACTTACAAAAATATTAAGCCGGCTGCTTTACTCGATGTGCGTGGGTTGTTGAGGGTGGATTGAAAGTGAGGCACGCTTTGCAAATGATGTTGCTGCTCGGTGGGCTTGCATGGCTTGCTGAAAGACCAAAGAAGGGCCAGAGGAACGTCACCTATTAAAAAAATAATAATTAAAAGTGATTCAAACAGGAGACGAGCGAAGGAGAAAAAGGTGGACGACGAGCCGAGTGGGACAAACAGGCCAAGGCACCCCTTGAAATTTTGTAAGGGATTGAGGATGTTGGTCAGGAAGAGAGAGAAGGCAAGGAAGGAAGATTTGAAGGTCACCCAGTAATTTAATCACAAATAAATCTAAAATTAATGTGAAAAGGAATGAGCCATCTACGTTAATCTGGGTTTAGGGGGTGGATGAGGGTGGAATTAGTGCAAGGCATGCTTTGAAAATGATGGGGCTGGTGCGTGGGCATGCAAGGATTGGTGAAATGTCAAGGAAGCGCGAGAGGAACGTCACGTATTAAAAAAAAAAAAAAATTAAAAGTGATTTCAGCATAGTTCATGCTAAAGCGTAAATAACGCGTAGCGCCTTTAGGGGCAAAAAGGCCAAGGCACCCCTTGAAATTTTGTAAGGGATTGAGGATGTTGGTCAGGAAGAGAGAGAAGGCAAAGATGGGAGAGTTGAAGGTTAATCAGTAATTTAATCACAAATAAATCTAAAATTAATGTGAAAAGGAATGAGCCATCTACGTTAATCTGGGTTTAGGGGGTGGATGAGGGTGGAATTAGTGCAAGGCATGCTTTGAAAATGATGGGGCTGGTGCGTGGGCATGCAAGGATTGGTGAAATGTCAAGGACGCGCGAGAGGAACGTCACCTATTAAAAAAATAAAAATTAAAAGTGATTTCAGCATAGTTCATGCTAAAGCGTAAATAACGGACGTAGCGCCTTGAGGGTCAAAAAGGCCAAGGCACCCCTTGAAATTTTGTAAGGGATTGAGGATTTTGGTCAGGAAATGAGAGAAGGCAAGGAAGGAAGATTTGATGGTCACCCAGTAATTTAATCACAAATAAATCTAAAATTAATGTGAAAAGGAATGAGCCATCTACGTTAATCTGGGTTTAGGGGGTGGATGAGGGTGGAATTAGTGCAAGGCATGCTTTGAAAATGATGGGGCTGGTGCGTGGGCATTCAAGGATTGGTGAAATGTCAAGGAAGCGCGAGACGAACGTCACCTATTAAAAAAATAAAAATTAAAAGTGTTCAGCATAGTTCATGCTAAAGCAAAAATAATGGACGTAGCGCCTTGAGGGTCAAAAAGGCCAAGGCACCCCTTGAAATTTTGTAAGGGATTGAGGATGTTGGTCAGGAAGAGAGAGAAGGCAAAGATGGGAGAGTTGAAGGTCACTTAGAAATTAAATAGAAAATAAATATAAAATTTACTTACAAAAATACTAAGCCGGCTGCTTTACTCGATGTGCGTGGGTTGTTGAGGGTGGATTGAAAGTGAGGCACGCTTTGCAAATGATGTTGCTGCTCGGTGGGCTTGCATGGCTTGCTGAAAGACCAAAGAAGGGCCAGAGGAACGTCACCTATTAAAAAAATAATAATTAAAAGTGATTCAAACAGGAGACGAGCGAAGGAGAAAAAGGTGGACGACGAGCCGAGTGGGACAAACAGGCCAAGGCACCCCTTGAAATTTTGTAAGGGATTGAGGATGTTGGTCAGGAAGAGAGAGAAGGCAAAGATGGGAGAGTTGTAGGTTAATCAGTAATTTAATCACAAATAAATCTAAAATTAATGTGAAAAGGAATGAGCCATCTACGTTAATCTGGGTTTAGGGGGTGGATGAGGGTGGAATTAGTGCAAGGCATGCTTTGAAAATGATGGGGCTGGTGCGTGGGCATGCAAGGATTGGTGAAATGTCAAGGACGCGCGAGAGGAACGTCACCTGTTAAAAAAATAATAATTAAAAGTGATTCAAACAGGAGACGAGCGAAGGAGAAAAAGGTGGACGACGAGCCGAGTGGGACAAACAGGCCAAGGCACCCCTTGAAATTTTTTAAGGGATTGAGGATGTTGGTCAGGAAGAGAGGGAAGGCAAGGAAGGAAGATTTGAAGGTCACCCAGTAATTTAATCACAAATAAATCTAAAATTAATGCTGCGAGCTGCCAGACTTTCTGGGCTGATTTTGCCGAGTATTTGAGCACCAGTGGCCTCCATTCATTTAAAGGCAGGGAGCAGGACGCCCTGATAAAGGTTGCTGCCACTTGAAGACTCTGCTGGAGTCTCCGATGCTAAAATTGTCGTGCACCGACCGGCCGCAAATGGGCGGACTGGCCTCTCCTGGCAAAAAAAAAATGGCCATTGAGATGAAAATAAAACTTGATCAACTTCGAAGCATTGAAGAGACATCAATTAAGAGACATTTAAGAATGTTTAAATCGTCCCAAAAAATTAAAAAAAATTCCAACTGAATTATTTTTACAAACCAACAAATGACGAGCGACTCGTTCCGAGCTTCCAGGCTTTCTAGTCGGGACTTCATGGAGTGTATGGGCACCAGGTGCCTCCTCTCATTGAAGGGCATCCCTGCAGAAGGATGGTGCCACTGAAGACTGTGCTTGACTGTGCTGGTGCTTGACGAGGCTACAACAGTAAAAATAAATTTTTTTATATTTGAGAATTAAAAAAAAAATTATTGTCACCAGCTGGTGAATTCAAGAGCTAAATTAACTAGCGGGTGATGTTTTTTTTATTTATTTTTTTTTTTAAATTTTTGTAAAATGAAAATTAATGTATAAATTATAAATAACATTAGTTTAATTTAATTAAATTTAAGTTCTTATAATTAAAAAAAGGGGAATTTTATGATTATTTTATAAATAAAATTAATTTTAATAAAATAAATTGAAATTTTTTTTCATTTGTAAATTAAAAAAAAAAAACAATTGGCACTAGCTGGTGAATCCACCAGCTAAATCCACCAGCTGGTGATGTTTTTTTTTAAATTTATAAAAATTGAAATTTAATTTAAAAATAAAAATCATTAATATTAATTAAATTTAAGTTTTAAAAAATGGGATTAATTTTATAAATAAAATTTATATTAATAAATTAAATTCAACTTTTTTAAATATAAGGAATATTAAAAAAAAAAAAAATATTCACCAGCTGGTGATGTTTTTTTTTTAAATTTTAAAAATCGCAATATAAATCATAAATAAAACTAATATAAATATAAAAATTTAATTTTTATAAAATTTAGAAAAAAAATTAAATTTATAAATGTTTTATAAATAAAATTAATGTTAATATACTAAATTTAAATTTGTTTAAATTTGTAAATTTAAAAAAAAAAAATAATTGTCACCAGCTGGAGAATTCACCAGCAATATTCACCATTTGAATTAAAAAGCTCAATTTACCAGCTCAATTCACCAGCTGGTGAATTAAGCTGGTGAGGTTTTTTTTTATTTTTTATAATTATTAAAAATTGTAATTTAATTTATAAATAAATTAATTTAAATTAATTAACTTTTAATTTATAATTCGAAATTTAAAAAAAAAAAATTGTCACCAGCTGGTGAATTCACAGGCTCAATTCACAAGCTGATGAGGTTTTTTTTTTAATTATCAAAAATTGAAGTATAATTTATAAATAAAATTTATTTAAAATAATTAAATTTTAATTGTTAAAAAACAATAAAAGGGATTAATATTATATAAATAAACTTAATACTAATTAATTAAATTAAATTTTTTTAATTAAAAAACTTAAAAAAAATTATAGTCACCAGCTGGTGAATTCACCAGCTTAATTAACCATTAGAATTAAAACGCTCAATTTACCAACTGAATTTAGCTGGTGAATTAAGCTGGTTAATTAAGGTGGTGAATTCACCAGCTAAATACACCAGCAGGGGATGTTTTTTTATTTTTTTAAAATTTTAAAAAATGAAATATATTTTATCAATAAAATTTTTTAAAATACTTAAATTTTAATTTTTAAAAAAGGGATAAATTTTATAAATATTTAGAAATAAAATTAAGATTCATTAATTTAATTCTAATTTTTTTAAATTTTTTTAAAATTTTTAAAAAAAAATTGGCACCAGCTGGTGAATTCAATTGTTGAATTCACCAGCTGAATCCACCAGCTGGTGATGTTTTTTTTTAAATTTATAAAAATTTAAATTTTATTTAAAAATAAAATTAATTAATTTTAATTAAATTTAGGTTTTAAAAAATTTAAGAAATGGGATTAATTTTATAAATAAAATTAATATTAATAGATTAAATTAAACTTCTTCCCAAAAAATTAATAAAAAAATCCAACTGAATTAATCTGACATACCTGCCGATTACGAGTGACTCGCTGCGAGCTGCCAGACTTTCTGGGCTGATTTTGCAGAGTATTTGAGCACCAGTGGCCTCCATTCATTCAAAGGCAGGGAGCAGGACGCCCTGATAAAGGTTGCTGCCACTTGAAGACTCTGCTGGAGTCTCCGATGCTAAAATCGTCGTGCACCGACCGGCCGCAAATGGGCGGACTGGCCTCTCCTGGCAAAAAAAAAAAATGGCCATTGAGATGAAAATAAAACTTGATCAACTTCGAAGCATTGAAGAGACATCAATTAAGAGACATTTAAGAATGTTTAAATCGTCCCAAAAAATTAAAAAAATTCCAACTGAATTATTTTTACAAACCAACAAATGACGAGCGACTCGTTCCGAGCTTCCAGGCTTTCTAGTCGGGACTTCATGGAGTGTATGGGCACCAGGTGCCTCCTCTCATTGAAGGGCAGCGTGCAGGACGCCCTGCAGAAGGATGGTGCCACTGAAGACTGTGCTTGACTGTGCTGGTGCTTGACGAGGCTACAACAGTCTTCAGCGGAGATGCATGCACAGGAGGCGGCCTGGCATCGCCTGGAAAATTAAAGGCCATTGAGCAACTTAAGAGAGTCATAGGGTATCAATTAAAACTAATTCTGAATGAATAAATCAGCTGGTTATTTTTAATTTTCATAAAATTTCCAAAAAATTAAACGTAATTTATAAATAAAATGATTTAAATTTAATTATATTTTATTTTTATAAAATTTTAAAAAACGGGATTAATTTTATAAATATTTCATACATAAAATTAATATGAATTAGTTAATACAATAAGTTAATGAATTAATATAAATAAAAATAAATTTTTTTATATTTGAGAATTAAAAAAAAAAATTATTGTCACCAGCTGGTGAATTCAAGAGCTAAATTAACTAGCGGGTGATGTTTTTTTTATTTATTTTTTTTTTTAAATTTTTGTAAAATGAAAATTAATGTATAAATTATAAATAACATTAGTTTAATTTAATTAAATTTAAGTTCTTATAATTAAAAAAAGGGGGAATTTTATAATTATTTTATAAATAAAATTAATTTTAATAAATTAAATTGAAATTTTTTTTCATATGTAAATTAAAAAAAAAACAATTGGCACTAGCTGGTGAATCCACCAGCTAAATCCACCAGCTGGTGATGTTTTTTTTTAAATTTATAAAAATTGAAATTTAATTTAAAAATAAAAATCATTAATATTAATTAAATTTAAGTTTTAAAAAATGGGATTAATTTTATAAATAAAATTTATATTAATAAATTAAATTCAACTTTTTTAAATATAAGGAATATTAAAAAAAAAAAAAATATTCACCAGCTGGTGATGTTTTTTTTTTAAATTTTAAAAATCGCAATATAAATCATAAATAAAACTAATATAAATATAAAAATTTAATTTTTATAAAATTTAGAAAAAAAATTAAATTTATAAATGTTTTATAAATAAAATTAATGTTAATATACTAAATTTAAATTTGTTTAAATTTGTAAATTTAAAAAAAAAAATAATTGTCACCAGCTGGAGAATTCACCAGCAATATTCACCATTTGAATTAAAAAGCTCAATTTACCAGCTCAATTCACCAGCTGGTGAATTAAGCTGGTGAGGTTTTTTTTTATTTTTTATAATTATTAAAAATTGTAATTTAATTTATAAATATATTAATTTAAATTAATTAACTTTTAATTTATAATTCGAAATTTAAAAAAAAAAAATTGTCACCAGCTGGTGAATTCACAGGCTCAATTCACAAGCTGATGAGGTTTTTTTTTTAATTATCAAAAATTGAAGTATAATTTATAAATAAAATTTATTTAAAATAATTAAATTTTAATTGTTAAAAAACAATAAAAGGGATTAATATTATATAAATAAACTTAATACTAATTAATTAAATTAAATTTTTTTAATTAAAAAACTTAAAAAAAATTATAGTCACCAGCTGGTGAATTCACCAGCTTAATTAACCATTAGAATTAAAACGCTCAATTTACCAACTGAATTTAGCTGGTGAATTAAGCTGGTTAATTAAGGTGGTGAATTCACCAGCTAAATACACCAGCAGGGGATGTTTTTTTATTTTTTTAAAATTTTAAAAAATGAAATATATTTTATCAATAAAATTTTTTAAAATACTTAAATTTTAATTTTTAAAAAAGGGATAAATTTTATAAATATTTAGAAATAAAATTAAGATTCATTAATTTAATTCTAATTTTTTTAAATTTTTTTAAAATTTTTAAAAAAAAATTGGCACCAGCTGGTGAATTCAATTGTTGAATTCACCAGCTGAATCCACCAGCTGGTGATGTTTTTTTTTAAATTTATAAAAATTTAAATTTTATTTAAAAATAAAATTAATTAATTTTAATTAAATTTAGGTTTTAAAAAATTTAAGAAATGGGATTAATTTTATAAATAAAATTAATATTAATAGATTAAATTAAACTTCTTCCCAAAAAATTAATAAAAAAATCCAACTGAATTAATCTGACATACCTGCCGATTACGAGTGACTCGCTGCGAGCTGCCAGACTTTCTGGGCTGATTTTGCAGAGTATTTAAGCGCCAGTGGCCTCCAGTCATTCAAGGGCACGGAGCAGGACGCCCTGATAAAGGTTGCCGCCACTTGAAGACTCTGCTGGAGTCTCCGATGCTAAAATCGTCGTGCACCGACCGGCCGCAAATGGGCGGACTGGCCTGTCCTGGCAAAAAAAAAATGGCCATTGAGATGAAAATAAAACTTGATCAACTTCGAAGCATTGAAAATACATCAATTAAGAGACATTTAAGAATGTTTAAATCGTCCCAAAAAATTAAAAAAATTCCAACTGAATTATTTTTACAAACCAACAAATGACGAGCGACTCGTTCCGAGCTTCCAGGCTTTCTAGTCGGGACTTCATGGAGTGAATGGGCACCAGGTGCCTCCTCTCATTGAAGGGTAGTGTGCAGGACGCCCTGCAGAAGGATGGTGCCACTGAAGACTGTGCTTGACTGTGCTGGTGCTTGACGAGGCTACAACAGTCTTCAGCGGAATTGCATGCACAGGAGGCGGCCTGGCATCGCCTGGAAAATTAAAGGCCATTGAGTTTAAAAAATTTCATGAGCAACTTAAGAGAGTCATAGGGTATCAATTAAAACTAATTCTGAGTGAATAAATCATCCCCAAAAATTATTAAAAAAATCCGACTGAATTAATTTCACAAACGAGCTAGCGTCCGAACCTCCACCTGCCCTTGTTGTTCTTTTTCCGCCGACGTCGTGCGTACTTGAATGTGGGGCCCACGGCCCTCGGCATGGGCCCATTTCGAGCCCTAACCGCGACACCCCGACCAACGAACTTTTCGCTTGGTCGCTCGAGTGAAAAGTGGGGCGTCGGCGTCTCTCTCTGCGGCCTGCGATGCTTTTTTGTTTGACCCGCGAAGAAGCATCGTGAAGTTAGCCAGAGATCCTAGCCAGTCATCGGAAGTTAGCTAGTTGGCTGGAAATTGGCCACTCGCGTCATTTTGGCGGATGTATCGAATATCGATTCCCGATTTTTTAAAGTGGAGAGCGTAGGGGAGGTGACTTTTTATCGCAACGTTTTACAGTTGACCTTCTAATATTCTTCTCATACACCAAGTCGCAGCAATAAATCGCAGTGTTCTAAAAGAGCACGGAGGAAGGAATATGAGAAGCTAATTTGAAAAACAGTTCCAATGGCCTTAAAAAAATTTTATTTAAAAGTAAATACAACGAAAATTAATCACGTCGAGGGACGCATGGATAAAACGGGTAAAACTAAAAATATTATAAATTCCGTACGCTTATCATGTACATTATTTGCAAATTTTTTACTGCGAATTTTGAACAAAAAAAATATTTAAATTTAATCTACATTCTAAATATGTAAAATAGGCAACTTCACTTTCACGCAATTTCAAATATTAAAAATTAAAACAATAAATTTAAGAAAAATTTTGCGCTAAAACCATGCATTGGAGTAAAATGAAATTATAATCGAAAATAACCTTCATCATCCTGTCTATAAAATCTGCCAGCAATCGATGGCCGCGTAACTGTTTTTTTCAAAAGAAAAAGTTAATGTTATCTTGTATGATTTCTCAAATGCTTTTGGCACTCTTCATCCACCTTTCCTTGTATATAAATTAAAACAGTACGGTCTAAATGAGAACTTGCTCTCGTGGTTGGACTGCTTATTATCAAATAGGAAACAATTTGTACAACTTAAGAACCTTGGCTGTGATGGATACGAGGCGTTTATTAACTCGCAGGGGTGTGCCGCAAGGCACAGTTCTCGGCCCAATTGGGTTTTCCATGTATTTTGTATTTAAATGATATTCCCCTTGCTGTATTCTTGGCCCTCCTGATTTTGTTCGCCGACGACTCAACGGCTGTAGTCAAGGGAGAGTCTTTCCCTGAGGTCAATAATAAAACGGTGGCTGTCAATGAAAGTTTTGTCAGCGTTGCTAATGATAATTTTTTGAGGATTAATTCACAAAAATCAAAGATATTACAAATACACACTAGCCAAACAAAAAAACTAGTTCAACCTGATGTTAAGATTGAAGATAAAAATATTGAAATCTGTAAATCTGGTAAACTTCTGGGAGAACAAATAAATGATACACTAAACTGGAACGACCAGTGTGATAAGGTTGTTAGCAAAATGAGAGGAGTCTCTCATGTGTTCACTAGACTGATATACAAGGTGTCAGATAATATTCTTAAATTGATCTTCTTTGCTCATGTCCAAAGTCATATAATGTATGGAATTGTAATTTGGGGGGCTCCAGCCATTTAATAAAGGTATTCAGAGCACAGAAAAGAGCGCTGAGAGCTATGGCGGGCATTCCTTACTGGAGATCTAATGAAGCGTTGGATACTTGTAAACCATTATTTGTTAAATATAATATCATGACCGTGCCATCGTTGTATATACTTGAATGTATAAAATTCTTAGTGCAAAACAGAAATCTATTTCGGAAATATAGTGATACTGTAGATACGAGGAGAGTGACTAGACATAATCAGACTAATCTTTGCTGTAACGATTTGGTTGTGAAAGAAGTTAAGCTCAAGAAAACTGTAGAAAACCCAGAAATCATGATCCCCAGAATTTTTAATGCATTACCTAAATCTTTAAAATTCCTTGAAAATGACGAGGCTCTTGTAAAAATGGTGAAAGCTTTTGTATAGGAACATCAATTCTATGACCTGAACGAATTTTATCGTTTAAATAATAATGTATATTGACTTATTTTAAAAAGCTGATATTACTATGTATATTATGTGGTATAAAATGCTTAACAAAATAAACAAATCTTGAATCTTAATAAAAATAATTAAGAGTCATTAAATTTTACTCGGGGCGGCATTGAACACAAACTATGCATTGGAAGTTAATGAAATTTTAATCAAAGTTACCCTTCATCATCCTGAACAAGAAAAACACCCAACCATCGATGGCCGCATCAGTTTTTTAACAAAAAAATTTGAAAGTTAGAAAAAATGGAAAAAATGCAATAATAAAACTAGATTTGAATGTATAAATCTTCCCAAAAAATTAATAAAAAAATCCAACTGAATTAATCTGACATACCTGCCGATGACGAGTGACTCGCTGCGAGCTGCCAGACTTTCTGAGCTGATTTTGCCGAGTATTTGAGCACCAGTGGCCTCCATTCATTCAAAGGCAGGGAGCAGGACGCCCTGATAAAGGTTGCTGCCACTTGAAGACTCTGCTGGAGTCTCCGATGCTAAAATCGTCGTGCACCGACCGGCCGCAAATGGGCGGACTGGCCTCTCCTGGCAAAAAAAAATGGCCATTGAGATGAAAAATGGCCATTGAGATGTGAGGAGTCGAGGCTGACATCGGCCGGTGTGCACGCGTGTGTCGGGAGCTCCAGCTTAATCGAGAAAAAAGGGTGGTTTTTGCCCACTCCCGACCTGCACACTCGGCACAGGGTACCGTGGATATCCTAGCAGCGCCCGGGGGCGGCCAGGCGCGTGCCCTGCCCTGCGGGGGTGGGTAAACGGTCTGAGGTACGTTAGAGGGTCCGACGGGCGCTGCTCAGCGGAGACTCACCTTTCCCCCCGAGTGAAAAGTTTCCACTTTGTTGTCCGACAGTGCTCCGGCCTCGTGTGTGTGAAACATGGTAGCGGGCAAGGGAGTGGTGCTCGCCCTTTTTCTCGTCGCCCTTTTCCCGCTGCCAAAGGACGCTTTGCAGAAGAACCGCCAAGGTTATCGAGGGCAGTATGGTGTGTTCACGGTACGTTTCACATATCTCGAGACCATTGAAAAAAGTAGTGTGACATGTTGGTGCGCTGTCGGCAACTGTGCACGGTCAAAATGCACGAGCTGGAGAACGGTTTTGTTTGTGCGTGTGCTTGCACCCAGCACCGCTCGACGCAGGAATCGCAGGTATGCCCGGCATCGGCTCGACCTTTGGTCGCGTTTGCTGCTGCTCATCGCCCTCGCCGGTGACATTGAACTCAACCCGGGCCCCTGCGTGCTCTGCGACCGCGACGGCAGGAAGAATCAAATCAGGATAAAATGCGGTGAGTGTAAAAAGTTTTATCACTCGAGTTGTATGCGCTGGAGCCAAAAGGAGATAAAAAAGTTCAGGGGCAACGAAGATTTCGTCTGCTGGTCCTGCTCCCTGCCAAATTTCTCCGACTCGTTCATTAGCGCAGATACTCCTCCATTGAGTCCCCCTGCCGGCCAAAAATCCTCGTCTCGCAATAAAAATCGCACCTTCTACCGACTTTATTCGTTTAATGCTCGCTCTCTCTGCAATCGAAAAAGGCGCGCGGATATTCTCGCGGCAATTGACACAATCGACGCAGATCTTGTTTGCATTAATGAGACCTGGTTGTCTCCCGACGTTGGAGACAACGAAATTATGCCGTCAGATTACGTTGTTTTTCGTAATGATAGGAGAAGTGGTCGCCGTGCTGCCGGCGGAACCCTTATTGCCGCGCGCCCCGAGTTGCACCCCCGCCGCCTCCAACACCTTGAGGCAGGCGCGGAAGTAGTCTGGCTGGAAGTAAACATGGACAAATTAAAAATCTTGGTCGGCTCTGTATACAGAAGGCCAAACGCGACCGCTGCATACAATGACGAGCTAATAAATTCACTCGAACGGGTTGCTGAAGTAAAGCACGACTTTGACAGCGTCATTCTCACGGGCGATTTTAATCTGGACGTTAATTGGACGCATGACCCGCCAGTCGCCGGACTCGCACCCGCAGCAGAGTTTTTGGATATTTTTGACGACCTCTCATTGACACAATTTATTAAAGACGCAACGCGCACAACAGACTCCACATCAAAAATTCTTGACCTCGCCCTTTGTGACGCTGAGGGGTTAATTTCAAGGGCGGAAGTCACCCCTGGTGTGAGTGACCATGATGCAATTGTGCTTGAGTTAACTGTTCGGCGAGAAAAGCCCCGACGCGCCCGCCGAGAATATTTTGACTTTAAAAAAGTGGATTGGAATGAGCTTGGAGTTGAACTTTTCAGAAAATTGGAAAATCTGGAATTTAATTTCTGCTCAGTGAGTAAAGCTTGGGAGAAATGGCAGCAAATGTTTTTTGTTACCCTCGCCGAAATCGTTCCAAAGAAAATTGCCCGCCCGAAGAAACGAAAATGCACACCATGGCTCACAAAAGAGGTCAGCTCGCTTATGAGCAAACGAGACAAAATGTATGCAGCCTGGCGAAAAACAAAATCAGCTTTCTCACGTCTCGAGTTTGAAAAAGCGAGAAAATCTGTGCAGAAGGCAGTTCGACTGGCACGCGATAAGTGGATGTGGGATCTGGGCCGTGGACCAGGCGGAAATAAATTTTTCTGGAACTACGTGAAGGAGAAGAGTAAAGTTTCGCCTGCAGCCGCAGTGTTTGAAATTGATGGCGAGAAAGTGTCGAAGCCCGAGTTAGTCGCCTCCGCGTTCAGCCGTGCGTTTCTCAAGAATTTCAATACTGTGCAAAACTATTTCCCATTCGTGCGCCGATCACCTGCCAGCGCGGCGGCCCCAGTGTTAAGTGATTTCTCTGTTAGCGCAGCGAGTGTGTGCTCCCATCTGCGGCAAATAAAAACAAATGCAGCGACCGGCCCCGACAACGTGCCCGCGATTGTGCTGAATAAGTGTGCCGCCTCACTCGCCCCCAGCCTCGCTCGAATTTTCAATCTTTCCCTTCGGCAGGGTGCACTTCCAGAGGGGTGGAAAACGGCCGCAGTCACTCCTATTTTTAAGAGTGGGAAAAAGTGCTGCCTGGACAATTATCGCCCCATAAGTGTAACTTCATTAGTCGGAAAAATATTAGAAAGGTGCGTGCGAGACAGGGTTGAAAATTTTATAAACGAGAGCAAAATTATTCCCGACTGCCAACATGGGTTCAGGCAAAAAAGGTCATGCACCACACTTTTGTGCAAGACCTTTGACAGTTGGGCCTGCAGGCTGGACGAAAGAAGCGGGACGCACGTCCACGCCATCTTCTTGGACTGGGCCAAAGCCTTCGACCGCGTCCCGCATGACCGTCTGCTGTCCAAACTCGCCCACTATGGCGTCGGCGGCAACCTCCTAAATTGGCTGAAAAGTTTTTTGACCGACCGCAGCCAGTTCGTCGTGTATGGAGGAGCAAAATCAGAACCTGAAAGTGTCCTGTCCGGAGTCATCCAGGGCCGAACACGGGTTGCTGTCGGTGCAGCAGCAGCTTAAGTTTAATGACTTGATGTTTTTCAAGAAATGCACCAGTGGCGAGACTGACATGGACGCAAAGGCGAGAATCACCACCGGCCGAGTGATGAGAAATAGTGGCGGCGAGCACCGTTTAATTCTCCCAAAAGTGCGCACAGAGCTCGGTCGACAAAGTTTTTCTTTCCGAGTCGCGGATCAGTGGAATTCCCTGCCTTCTGCGTTAAAAAATTGTACGGTTCCTGAGTTTAAAATTGCATGCAAAATATATGTAACCCTTTGAATTTTTTTTTTCCCCACTTACGGCTCCAGTTCGGCGAGTAGGTTTAAGTTGGAAACACTTTTGCTTCCAAATTGAGCCTACGAGTTTTAGTAAGTTGTTTACTAGAGCTGGCTGCCAATTCTCTCCCAATGTGATTTTTTAATTTTCTGTTTGACTTGTTGCGAGAGAATAAATGAATTGAAATTGAAATTGAAAATAAAACTTGATCAACTTCGAAGCATTGAAGAGACATCAATTAAGAGACATTTAAGAATGTTTAAATCGTCCCAAAAAATTAAAAAAATTCCAACTGAATTATTTTTACAAACCAACAAATGACGAGCGACTCGTTCCGAGCTTCCAGGCTTTCTAGTCGGGACTTCATGGAGTGTATGGGCACCAGGTGCCTCCTCTCATTGAAGGGCAGCGTGCAGGACGCCCTGCAGAAGGATGGTGCCACTGAAGACTGTGCTTGACTGTGCTGGTGCTTGACGAGGCTACAACAGTCTTCAGCGGAGATGCATGCACAGGAGGCGGCCTGGCATCGCCTGGAAAATTAAAGGCCATTGAGCAACTTAAGAGAGTCATAGGGTATCAATTAAAACTAATTCTGAATGAATAAATCAGCTGGTTATTTTTAATTTTTTTAAAATTTCCAAAAAATGAAATGTAATTTATAAATAAAATGATTTAAATTTAATTAAATTTTATTTTTATGAAATTTTAAAAAACGGGATTAATTTTACAAATATTTTATACATAAAATTAATATGAATTAGTTAATACAATTAGTTAATGAATTAATATAAATAAAAATAATTTTTTTTATATTTGAGAATTAAAAAAAAAAAATTATTGTCACCAGCTGGTGAATTCAAGAGCTAAATTAACTAGCGGGTGATGTTTTTATTATTTATTTTTTTTTTAAATTTTTGTAAAATGAAAATTAATGTATAAATTATAAATAAAATTAGTTTAATTTAATTAAATTTTAGTTCTTATTATTAAAAAAAGGGGGAATTTTATAATTATTTTATAAATAAAATTAATTTTAATTAATTAAATTGAAATTTTTTTTCATTTGTAAATTAAAAAAAAAAACAATTGGCACTAGCTGGTGAATCCACCAGCTAAATCCACCAGCTGGTGATGTTTTTTTTTAAATTTATAAAAATTGAAATTTAATTTAAAAATAAAAATCATTAATATTAATTAAATTTAAGTTTTAAAAAATGGGATTAATTTTATAAATAAAATTTATATTAATAAATTAAATTCAACTTTTTTAAATAAGGAATATTAAAAAAAAAAAAATATTCACCAGCTGTTGATGTTTTTTTTTTAAATTTTAAAAATCGCAATATAAATCATAAATAAAACTAATATAAATATAAAAATTTAATTATTAAAAAATTTAGAAAAAAAATTAAATTTATAAATGTTTAATAAATAAAATTAATGTTAATATACTAAATTTAAATTTGTTTAAATTTGTAAATTTAAAAAAAAAAAATAATTGTCACCAGCTGGAGAATTCACAGGCTCAATTCATAAGCTGATGAGGTTTTTTTTTAATTATCAAAAATTGAAGTATAATTTATAAATAAAATTTATTTAAAATAATTAAATTTTAATTGTTAAAAAACAATAAAAGGGATTAATATTATAAAAATAAACTTAATACTAATTAATTAAATTAAATTTTTTTTAATTAAAAAACTTAAAAAAAATTATAGTCACCAGCTGGTAAATTCACCAGCTCAATTAACCATTAGAATTAAAACGCTCAATTTACCAACTGAATTTAGCTGGTGAATTAAGCTGGTTAATTAAGGTGGTGAATTCACCAGCTAAATACACCAGCAGGGGTTGTTTTTTTATTTTTTTAAAATTTTTAAAAAATGAAATATATTTTATCAATAAATTTTTTTTTAAAATATTTAAATTTTAATTTTTAAAAAAGGGATCAATTTTATAAAAATTTTATAAATAAAATTAATATTAATGACTTCAATTAAATTTATAAAAAAATATAATTTAATTTATAGTTAAATTATTTTAATTATATTACATTCTAATTTTAAAAAAATTTGAAAAAAGGGATAAATTTTATAAATATTTTAGAAATAAAATTAATATTCATTAATTTAATTCTAATTTTTTTAAATTTGAAAATATTTAAAAAAAAAATGGCACCAGCTGGTGAATTCAATTGGTGAATTCACCAGCTGAATCCACCAGCTGGTGATGTTTTTTTTTAAATTTATAAAAATTTAAATTTTATTTAAAAATAAAATTTTAATTAAATTTAAGTTTTAAAAAATTTAAGAAATGGGATTAATTTTATAAATAAAATTAATATTAATAGATTAAATTAAACTTCTTTCCAAAAAATTAATAAAAAAATCCAACTGAATTAATCTGACATACCTGCCGATTACGAGTGACTCTCTGCGAGCTGCCAGACTTTCTGGGCTGATTTTGCCGAGTATTTGAGCACCAGTGGCCTCCATTCATTCAAAGGCAGGGAGCAGGACGCCCTGATAAAGGTTGCTGCCACTTGAAGACTCTGCTGGAGTCTCCGATGCTAAAATCGTCGTGCACCGACCGGCCGCAAATGGGCGGACTGGCCTCTCCTGGCAAAAAAAAATGGCCATTGAGATGAAAAATGGCCATTGAGATGTGAGGAGTCGAGGCTGACATCGGCCGGTGTGCACGCGTGTGTCGGGAGCTCCAGCTTAATCGAGAAAAAAGGGTGGTTTTTGCCCACTCCCGACCTGCACACTCGGCACAGGGTACCGTGGATATCCTAGCAGCGCCCGGGGGCGGCCAGGCGCGTGCCCTGCCCTGCGGGGGTGGGTAAACGGTCTGAGGTACGTTAGAGGGTCCGACGGGCGCTGCTCAGCGGAGACTCACCTTTCCCCCCGAGTGAAAAGTTTCCACTTTGTTGTCCGACAGTGCTCCGGCCTCGTGTGTGTGAAACATGGTAGCGGGCAAGGGAGTGGTGCTCGCCCTTTTTCTCGTCGCCCTTTTCCCGCTGCCAAAGGACGCTTTGCAGAAGAACCGCCAAGGTTATCGAGGGCAGTATGGTGTGTTCACGGTACGTTTCACATATCTCGAGACCATTGAAAAAAGTAGTGTGACATGTTGGTGCGCTGTCGGCAACTGTGCACGGTCAAAATGCACGAGCTGGAGAACGGTTTTGTTTGTGCGTGTGCTTGCACCCAGCACCGCTCGACGCAGGAATCGCAGGTATGCCCGGCATCGGCTCGACCTTTGGTCGCGTTTGCTGCTGCTCATCGCCCTCGCCGGTGACATTGAACTCAACCCGGGCCCCTGCGTGCTCTGCGACCGCGACGGCAGGAAGAATCAAATCAGGATAAAATGCGGTGAGTGTAAAAAGTTTTATCACTCGAGTTGTATGCGCTGGAGCCAAAAGGAGATAAAAAAGTTCAGGGGCAACGAAGATTTCGTCTGCTGGTCCTGCTCCCTGCCAAATTTCTCCGACTCGTTCATTAGCGCAGATACTCCTCCATTGAGTCCCCCTGCCGGCCAAAAATCCTCGTCTCGCAATAAAAATCGCACCTTCTACCGACTTTATTCGTTTAATGCTCGCTCTCTCTGCAATCGAAAAAGGCGCGCGGATATTCTCGCGGCAATTGACACAATCGACGCAGATCTTGTTTGCATTAATGAGACCTGGTTGTCTCCCGACGTTGGAGACAACGAAATTATGCCGTCAGATTACGTTGTTTTTCGTAATGATAGGAGAAGTGGTCGCCGTGCTGCCGGCGGAACCCTTATTGCCGCGCGCCCCGAGTTGCACCCCCGCCGCCTCCAACACCTTGAGGCAGGCGCGGAAGTAGTCTGGCTGGAAGTAAACATGGACAAATTAAAAATCTTGGTCGGCTCTGTATACAGAAGGCCAAACGCGACCGCTGCATACAATGACGAGCTAATAAATTCACTCGAACGGGTTGCTGAAGTAAAGCACGACTTTGACAGCGTCATTCTCACGGGCGATTTTAATCTGGACGTTAATTGGACGCATGACCCGCCAGTCGCCGGACTCGCACCCGCAGCAGAGTTTTTGGATATTTTTGACGACCTCTCATTGACACAATTTATTAAAGACGCAACGCGCACAACAGACTCCACATCAAAAATTCTTGACCTCGCCCTTTGTGACGCTGAGGGGTTAATTTCAAGGGCGGAAGTCACCCCTGGTGTGAGTGACCATGATGCAATTGTGCTTGAGTTAACTGTTCGGCGAGAAAAGCCCCGACGCGCCCGCCGAGAATATTTTGACTTTAAAAAAGTGGATTGGAATGAGCTTGGAGTTGAACTTTTCAGAAAATTGGAAAATCTGGAATTTAATTTCTGCTCAGTGAGTAAAGCTTGGGAGAAATGGCAGCAAATGTTTTTTGTTACCCTCGCCGAAATCGTTCCAAAGAAAATTGCCCGCCCGAAGAAACGAAAATGCACACCATGGCTCACAAAAGAGGTCAGCTCGCTTATGAGCAAACGAGACAAAATGTATGCAGCCTGGCGAAAAACAAAATCAGCTTTCTCACGTCTCGAGTTTGAAAAAGCGAGAAAATCTGTGCAGAAGGCAGTTCGACTGGCACGCGATAAGTGGATGTGGGATCTGGGCCGTGGACCAGGCGGAAATAAATTTTTCTGGAACTACGTGAAGGAGAAGAGTAAAGTTTCGCCTGCAGCCGCAGTGTTTGAAATTGATGGCGAGAAAGTGTCGAAGCCCGAGTTAGTCGCCTCCGCGTTCAGCCGTGCGTTTCTCAAGAATTTCAATACTGTGCAAAACTATTTCCCATTCGTGCGCCGATCACCTGCCAGCGCGGCGGCCCCAGTGTTAAGTGATTTCTCTGTTAGCGCAGCGAGTGTGTGCTCCCATCTGCGGCAAATAAAAACAAATGCAGCGACCGGCCCCGACAACGTGCCCGCGATTGTGCTGAATAAGTGTGCCGCCTCACTCGCCCCCAGCCTCGCTCGAATTTTCAATCTTTCCCTTCGGCAGGGTGCACTTCCAGAGGGGTGGAAAACGGCCGCAGTCACTCCTATTTTTAAGAGTGGGAAAAAGTGCTGCCTGGACAATTATCGCCCCATAAGTGTAACTTCATTAGTCGGAAAAATATTAGAAAGGTGCGTGC